GAATGGGGAATATCAGTGTAAAAGCAGAGAAGTGAAAATGTTTTATTGCAAGAGGAAAGAGAATTAGATTGTATGTTCTCTGACAGATCTTTGGAATTTCTTAGTAATCATATATGATTCACATCGCTTCTAGAGTAAGAAGGTAGTTTCACAGTAAGTCCTGCTTTGATTGCTTATACAATTGATGTTAGTAGTTTGAAAAAAAGTTTCGTGGATAACTTGGCAGACCCTGCAATATATAGGTGTATGTAATGACACGTATGTATTTGTCCCTCGATACAGTAAATGAAAATCCAGTTTTTCATCTTTAGTTAAAATACCAAAGAAACATATCACACAGACCTATTACTGTTCTGGGTTTCCTCAGTAGTAAGTGTTGAGTTTCCTAGTGAATTGTCAATATTTAATTCCGTAATCAAACAGCTTATGAGGTAGTATTTGAACACAAAAACTATGTTGTTCTATGCTTTATCTACGGGAAAAACAACATGTTTGTCATGGATGTAGAACAGGTGTTTATCAACATTTGGGTCTTTGAAGATAGATTTAGCATGAGTGTTGATATGCCTATTCAGTTTAGTTTTTAAAATTATCAATTGTATCAAAGAATTAAAGACTCTTTTGTTCGCGTTAAGCCCACTGGCTGAAATAGTCCTCGACTGAATCTATTAGTATCTAAAAGTTGTGTTCTTATTGATGGATTTGGGCTCATGGCTGATACTTCGACACTTTGGTTAATACATTTTACAGAGAAGATTGTTCAGGTCACCAGTAATAACGTGACTAGCCGGGATATATGTGAATGGGGAATTAGCATAGTAAATGCAATCAGATAATGTAAATAAATTATCCGTTTAAAGAATATACAGGAACAAGATGAGTGCATTTTATTAGAAATCATCATGATATGAAAACGTTAACATTTAGGTTACTCATACCTTTTTTTTTATACATCAGATATAGTAAAGGTCAGAAACCGTGAGCAATAATGAAAGAGGACTAAACTGCAAAATGTGTTTCTATAATATAGTTTTTAACCTAAGATTTTGATTTTAGATGTACATTTTTGTGTATATATTAATATATATGACGTATTTAAGGTGCTGGTGAAAACCTAGTGTTAGACCAGATAAAATAAATATTTATTCCTTTTAGCACATTATTCAGTCTATAGTCTATGTTGTCTTGTACATGTAGTAGGCGTCAACCTAGTTCTCAAATCCTATCTCATGATAAATATTTTGTTGTCCCCGTATACAAATCCCTATGAATACCGGCCTATGCAATATATTTTTTTGGGGGGAGAAATAACCTTATATAAACTGCTGGATAATGGAATAAGCAATTGCAAATTCACTTGAAAACCCAACATATACTCACACGACATTTACCAAAGTGGAAATCTGGAACAATCATAGGTTTGTGCTATATAGAAATAAGAAGATGTGGTATGAGTGCCAATGAGACAACTATCCATCCAAGTCACAATGTGTAAAAAGTAAACAATTATAGGTCAAAATTATATGTTTCTTTTGGAATTTCATCAATTGATGAAGAACTGGATCTTCCTTCACTGTACTGGATACCAAAAGTACACAAGTGTTCTTATAATCAACCTTATATTGCTTGGTATGTGAAATCATCCACGAAATTTCTAACCAAAATAACAACATCTAATTTATCAGCAATCAAAATCGGGCTTCAGAGGATCTGTGAAATTACTTATACTCTAAGGGATGTGTGCATTAGATGCAAATTCTAAAAAACAACCAAAGATCTGTTTAAGTACATACAATCAAAGTTTCTTTTCTCGTGCAATGGTATAAGAGCATTCACTATCTCTGTCGTTTACAAATTTCACAGTATTCCTCATTCTTAACTTAAAGATAGATTGAAAAAAGTAGTTCAACTTTGTTTCATAAAAATGAATGGGCAACGTAAGTACAAAGATATTATTTAAGGAAAGGATAAATCTTACTTTGTAAATAGTAACACTCTGATTCAGATGAAAGTTCTCTGAAACTGCCATTATCATGCTGCTTGGTTTTTTTTTTTTATTAGTTCACTATTTACTTTTGGTGGATGAGTTTTTCAACAGACAATCGACATTCCTATCGGAACCAAGTTCATCTTCTTATTTACTCGCGTCTTTATTCAAATGAGAAAATCTTCAAACAGGATTTTCTAAAAAAAAAAAAATGAAAAGGAACTAGCATGATTATCCTTCAACTTCCCATATAGATGATGTCCTCTCACTAGATAATTGAAAGTGTGAAGAAGGTAATTCAAAATTTGGTAAAGATTATTTAAAGTTTGGTGAATATGTTCAACAATTATATCCAACCGAACTTGAACTAAAGGATAACACAGACATATTTAAGTGTGATTCATATCTGGACTTCCATCTAGAAATTTTCTATGAGAGTCCGTTGATAACTAAACACTACGACAACAGAGATAATTTCAGCTTGCCAATTATGAACTTTCCATTTCTATGAAGCAACATGCTAGCAGTTCCTGCATGTATATATTGAGCGTATATCTGTTAATTGGTGCGATATGCCAGAGGTTATGTTTCCTATCATATGAGGTTATGTTTCCTATCATATGATATCTTTGATAAAGGACGGATGCTTACAAAAAAGCAGTTGACACAAGGGTCCATAATGGTTAAGTTGGAGTCGTCCCTTCAAAATATCTACGGACGTCATCATGATATGTTTGCCTATTTAGAAATGTCTGTATCACATATGACCGCGGATATATTCCAATTGTCGACGATACAATCCCGTCCTCTCTTCCTCAATTGTAACATCAGCGAATGAGACATATCATCGAATTTTTACTTGCAATAGACAACACGACAGGTGCCACTAGTGGAGCAGTATTTGAGTACCCATCTGCGACACCTGGAATCATCCCCGATTTAATTAGGGTTTGTGTTGCTCAGTCTTTGGTTTCTGTGTAGTGTTTTGTGGTGTTTTGTTAGTCTTTTTTTCGTTTTTCTTTTTGGCCGTGGTATTCGATTTAGGATTTGTTATTGGCTCTTAGTATTCTCTGCCTCTTTTATAGCTATACATCTCACAAAATCGAGCCATTCAATGATGCAACGAAATGAATTTAACTTGATGAAATTTATTAGTATCTAAAAGTTTGAGTTAGTTTAAATGATTGGTATTCCGAGAGGGGGTCGATTACGCCTCTTATCATTGCACGTGTATGTGTGCGTCATTGGTCGCATCGGCAAAGTAAATTTAAAGCATTAATGATTTAACCATGGCAGAGACATATAGTCTTAAAAATGCTGCATTTGAGACATAGTCACGATAGACTAGTATTTATATCTGATTACACTAACAATATTTCAATCCTATATCTGTTTCTGTACATTGATGTACGTTGAAGAGACCAATTTTAGCTTTTTTTACAACGTAAGTGAATGCGCATAGTCGAACTTTGGTGCTGTCCACTTTTTCTTCTATAAAGTTGTTCCAGTCTACTAATGTATTCATAAAGAAAGATTTGTTGTATTGTTGTGTGTGGCCTCTTCTAAAGGTTAGACTCTTCTGAAGAATTGTTTCACACTCGACCGTCTAAAATGTTTGATGTGTTACAGTTTTCGATGATCAGGAGGTCAGTGGGGTTCGGGGAGGGGGCTCACAGGGCGTAACCCAATTGATTGGAACATATGTAAAAAATTTTAGCATAAAATCGTCCAAATGTTTGTTCACTGGGACATAATATAATATACTCCAAATGTTTGTTCACTGGGACATAATATGATATACTCCAAATGTTTGTTCAATGGGACATAATATAATATACTATTCCCAGGTGTCACTAACAGATAAAAGACAGGCAGCGAAAATTTTGGCTTTGAGAAATATCGCTGTGATTTTGAACTTAACCCATTATATCGTTCTGAAGTATAAATAAACGATAATTTGGTGTAAATCATCAATAAACGAATAAGTAACTATAAATCAAACAACTCCGTGCTCGATTTTTTTTTAAGTCAAAGGAGTAGGCGCGGTAAGACCCCTTTTTGGCCCCAAAATATAGCATTTTTACAATTTGTTTAAAATGTAAACTTTTAGCTATTTATTAGAAAGTAGAATTCTTTAGTTTCATAAATATGGGCTGTTTTTGACAACGCAATGCACTTTCATCAAGTAGTCTCATCAGTAATTCATGTAAAATTACGAAAATCTTCACAAGTTTAGCATTTGTACGATGTTTAGACGGTTTTTGTCTAAAATGGAAGTGGCCGCACTTGTGTTCAGTCTTAATATTTCAATAAATGTTGTATTTGATGATTATATATATACATAACATATAAATAAAGGTTGAGACTAAACACGAATGCGACCACTTACATTTTAGACAAAAAAAAACATCTGAACAGTGACATTTCAGTTATGACATATTTGATATGTTTTTCATATTGAAGCTTGAATTTGATCGTCTTTAATGACCAAATCAGTTCAAATCTTGTACTTAAACAAATTGAATCGAATCAGAGACATATATATATATGTCTCTGATCGAATGAAGTAGACACTTAATTAAGTGTTTGAAAAATGTCAAATATCTTTCATCAGATGTACTTAAAATTTTAAGCCAAAATTAGCCCTTGGGTCTATATATTCCTAAGTTAGAGGCTACTGCTTTGAAATACAATCATGCACGTATACTTTTGGTCAAAACTGACTAATTGATTATCAATCATTTTTGTTATTTTCAAGTTACCCTGGTAAGAATTTTTTAACTATAGAGACATAATATATACTAGGTATTCAGTAATTTATGATTTTAAATGAAAATTTGTGTTTATAAATTATCAGATTCACCTTAAATACTTAATTCAAGTCTTTAATAATGTAATTGATTCACATTGTGTTATCAAAATGTAACACATTCCTTTCATAAAAAGATTGTTCCTCATTGGTTGAATTGTCATTGAAATTATTTGTATGTGACGTCAGATATGCTAATGAGATATGGGAGAGAAACATGGAGGACTTGTGATGATAGGGATTTATTTATGTTTTGTCAATGAAATATGCCCAAGAGACGGAGTGGGGGAGAGATCCCTCTTCCAGAAGGTTGGGAAGAATGCCGTGATTTTGACGGCAAAGTTTTCTTTATAGACCATAATACACATCAAACTAGCTGGATTGACCCGCGAGACAGGTAAGCAGTATAAGTTTTCGAAGTTTTTATTTATTATTACCACTTCCTAGACTGCAAAACAACCAAAAGATAGTTATCATACTAGATTTTATCCATACAAAGTGTACAGTGACGTGCAAAATACGACGAGGACAACTGTAATTCTGTAGTTTGTTGGCATGTGTTTCGATAGTTCATGTTTTTAAGGGAAGTAACTCTGTAGACTAAAATTTTTAAAATATTTTCTCTAGCCACCCCTGCATCTTACGTTGGTGAAATAATACCCAGTAGAACAGCCAAATGATGCCAGCTTACCCAGTTTGTTTGTGATACTTTAGGAAATTAACTCTTTGCTGGATCCTTCAATTATTTATTTAGTTTCTGGTTCAATTATATATTTTTTTTGCTATTACAATTAGTAACTGTTACATACCAATTTGAACATGTCAGGAATAACCCTTAATTAGTGGAATTTACCTCAATTCATATGTTCAACAATTGACAATTGTAATGGAAATAAGAAGATGATTATAAAACAAGGAGAACTTAGAGTCTTAGTAATCTTAACTTGAACGCTTCCAGGTCCATTAGATCTGATATTTTTGGAAAGACCTGCGTTTTAAACCACCCTGGTTGATAGAATAAGATAAATATGGGGGTTTTCAAATGGAAGTCCTGCCACATTTTTAATTTTCCTTTCCTAGCGTGGAATATGTAGATGAGAATATATTATTATATCATCATGGTCTGCAGTGTGTGGTTGTCGGTCTATCTGGGTGACAAAAGCCCTTTCAATACAGACAAAACATCTTGTAATAAGACTATGACCATGCAGTAATCCATCCCATTTGCTTATAAACTGAAGTTCATATAACTTGATAAGGTTAATGATCAACCTCTTGAATGAAATGTAAATAGTGGAGAATAACGAAATTAATATTCAGGGACTGAAGGTCAAAGATCAAAGGTTGTGGTCTATGTTATGAGATACAACTTACTGTCAAATATGTACAATGTACTTAAATGTATCTTATAGTAGAATATTCCCTGGAAAAAAAACTTCTGTTAAAGCCAGGGATTGAACCTTAAACCCTTTTAACTGTAATGAAAAGCTTTCACTCTACCAACTAAGCTTAGGAATTGCAGTGGTTTACTATGCCACCTGTCAATGGTTCCATTCTTGGCTGTTACAGGTTAATTTTGGAAGGAATTTCATGCTCTATAGTGTCGTTTGACACTCCAGCTGAAAAAGACACAGTGGTTAAAAGAGATTTTAAGATTACATATAGCTGGTGTTCGAAATTGAAATGGATAGCTGTCAGTAATGTACATGTATATAAATTTTGTGGGGTTTGGGAAGTGTGGTGCTTCCTTTGACATAGTAGATTAATAAGTGCCCTCCAATAGTTTCACCAGTGAAGTACTATGTTCAATTGTTAAAACTGTGATAATTATACATAAGGTTGAGTGTCTTGTACAGTAGCAGGTTCTTGTTTATCTCATGCCCAATATTAATATGTAATCATCAAGGCCATATTGAGGGGTAAAGTAGGTGTTCTGTTGCAAGGGTAAATTTCTGTCCATAACCATTAAACATGTACTTTCATTTTCCAGTATCAGTCCAAATTTCCTGACCTGCATCTCGGATGACCCCTATTACAGAACCTACATATTGTATTTATTGTTATTTTTTGTCATCCTGAACATGCATGAAATATTTGCCACTGGAAAATAAGCAAATATCAATCAATCAAGGCCATATTCCAGGTAAATGGAGGCTTTTTTAGAGGTTCAACGGTAATCAACAATTCTAAAAATCCCTATTCAAACTTTGCAGAATATGCTTTTCAATGTCCTTGTATGCAGAATTTTGGATAATGTAACAATTTTGTTTAAATATCTCTGTCTTGTCTAGAGCTGTTATGGTAAAGTTATTGTACTGATTTTCTAGACTAATGCTAAAGGTTATCAATATGGGTCTTAACCTAGTACAATGACCACAGTTCAAAACCGAAGCCATTTAAACTACATATAGTATTTGTTGTCACAATGTATCTAAATTTTAGGCTTTATATTGACTGGACTTTCTGGCTAAAACTCTTGATGTTTATCTCTGCTTCTTAAATTCTTATAGGTCACCATTATGTTTTGAAACAATTCATTTTTCTTTAATATTGATTGAATTTCAATACACATGTAACTTTTGTAATCAACTGTAACATTAAAATTCTTGCAATCTGATTATAGAAATATCCTGTGATTAAGTACATGTCCCTTTTAATACCAACATAGTTTGATATAACCCTATACTTATATAGTGTTTATTTCATTCATAACTGTATTATAAATAGCCTTGGGGTACAAACGTGGAATGTATGGCATGCTGTCTACAGGTAAACAAACAGTAACTGGTCATTGTAAGCTTGGTCAGTAACATTAACCATATGGACATTCTTCTTATCCTTTGTCCTAAACTTTCACATACCATTAATTAAATTAAAAATGTAAGACATTAAATGAAAGAACTGAGGTCATTTACATTACATGTACAAGTACATGTACTAACAAAAAATGTTAAATGAAGAATGTTAATTATAGACTGTTATAATGGATTAGATTTTTTTCATACAATTCTGTATAAAATAAAATGCTAATGAGGTGTCAAGATTTTTTATTTTATTAATATTTATGAATAAAAGTTGGATGCATACACATTTAATATCACTACATGTGATATTAAGTTGGTACATGTGGTATAAAGTTGGTACATGTGAATATACATGCATATTAAATGTACCACTGTAGTGATTTCCTTAAATTTTTTTTGAAAGATGGTATTAACCAAAAGGATGGTGATCATACATTTTGAAGGATGGGGGTTTATATAGAGTTATAGGGAATTTTACATTTTAAAGGATATGGACCTGAAATAACACATGTAGGCCCCCGTCAGTGAAATCATCTGCTGGCCCATTGCATTTCTATAAATGGTACATTTCAAATATATCAAATGGATCCAAGCCAAAAGCTGAATTATAAAAATAGGATAAGGAATAGAAATAATTGATCTCCTTCATTAATCCCTGAGGATTGTCAGACTAACTCCAGTTCAACCTGTTATAGGTCTGACGCAATGTTTAGAAATAAAATCTCACAATTTTGTTAATGTTTCGACTTTGTTGAAAGATATCCTTTTTGTCGAGCCTTGGACTTTTGTCGAAAAAGCGAGACATAGCGATCCTACATTCCGTCGGCGGCATCCACAAATATTCACTCTGTGGTTAAAGTTTTTGAAATTTTAATAACTTTCTTAAACTATCCTGGATTTCTACCAAACTTAGAAAGAAGCTTGTTTATGATCAAAAGATAGTATCCAGAAGTTTGTAAAAAAAAAATTCCATTTTTTCCGTATTTTACTTATAAATGGACTTAGTTTTTCTGCCAGTTAACATTACATTCACTCTGTGGTTAAAGTTTTTAAAATTTTAATTACTTTCTTAAACTATCCTGGATTTGTACTTAACTTGGACAGAAGCTTGTTTATGATTAAAAGCTAGTATCTAGAAGGAAATTTTGTTAAAATTTTGTTCCATTTTTTCCGTATTTTACTTATAAATGGACTTAGTTTTTCTTCCAGTTAACATTACATACAATCTGCAGTTTAAGTTTTTAAAACATTTATTAGATTCATAAACTATCCTGGATTTTTACCAAACTTGGACAGAAGCTACTTACAATCAAAAGATAGTATAGAGAGGAATATTTTAATTAATTTTTTCCCTCATTTTTGTTGAGCCTGCGATTAACAGCAAAAGTAGGCGAGACACTGGGTTCCGTGGAACCCTTACAAATTTTTAACAATAACATGCAGGTGAAATTCCAATTTTCAAAATTATGAAGTTGCTAATGTGATTTAAACTGTGGTTGAAGAAAGAATATTTTACCGTTTACTTGATTAAAATTTATTTTTGAATATTTGTAGAGCAATGTTGATTATAAGCTCCAATAGGTTATTTTATATGAATTAAAAATAAAAATGTTGGACACTAATAGCCATTTATATTCTGCACTGTACTGTAGTGAAAATGCAGAAATCCCTCAAAGGTGTAATCTAGATTGCACTGTAAAAACTGAAAATTGAAAAGATACCTGTTTGCTGCTTTCACAAACAATTTTGTCTATTAATTTCCTTATTTTGATACTAAGAAACTCAACAGTTTACTTAAACAAAGACTGTCCCAATTGTACATTATGTCTTTTGATAGATAGTCCAGTATTAAAATATGCAGAACAATGTTTTTTTTTTCTTTATAGATTCATAAAACCACAGACATTTGCTGATTGTATTGGTGATGAACTGCCTTATGGTTGGGAGGGATGTCATGATCCAGAAATAGGAGTATATTACATTGATCATATAAATCGTAAGTTTGTTAGACGATTACCATCTAAAACTAATGATTAGGCAAGAATCTAATTATATAAATAGCTGCATAGAGTAAATCAATATTTTTTTTCATAGAATTTGCAATATTAATGGTTGTATATATGTGTATTAATCAAACTTATTCATTAAAAAGACTTCAAGCAGAATGTTTTTTTCCCTATAAAAATCCAAAATCCAGACTTAGTTACTCCTAAGATTTCCGTCATTAAGACGAGAGTGCATGGGAGAGGTAATGGTGACACATAACTTTATTTAAGTATGCCATCTCTTTTTACTGTATGTATGTCTTGTTTTGTCACATTTTGATCTCTTCTGGAGAACTACTGAATGAGACTTTTTATCCACAATTCAAAGTCATAAAAGTGGCTGCCAGTTCCTCTACAAAACAACAAAAGATGACCCAAAGATGACAGGATTCTTCAATCAATCATTTGTTAAAAACAGTGTAGCAAATTATTTAGGGTTTCATGAACAATAAATTTCTCTGATATTTTAAAGGCACAATTTAGTTATGCAGCTATGTCAGTCACAATTATTACTACCAGAGGGACTTGTTCTTACTTTTTATACGCCCGTTTACGGGACGTATTATGGTATACCGTTGTTCGTCTGTCCGTCCGTCCGTCGTCAACATGTCGGACATTAACTCAAAAACGATTTAACCAATTTGCATAAAACTTTGGTGAATTGTTTATATCTATTGACGTAAGCTCCCTTTCGTTTTTTATAAATTTTAGATTTTACGTTTCCGAGTTATGGGGTTTTATTCATTAAAAAAGGGGGGATTTTCCAGTTTTTGGACAATAACTCAAAAATGCTGTCAGCAATTCTCATGAAACTTTGATGAATTGTTTATATCTATTGATGTAAGCTCCCTTTTGATTTTCATAAATTTCTAATATGATATTGAGAATTAATTGAACTTTATTTGTTTATAGTCTGACAACTGATTTATTAAGTATTGCGCAACAGCACAGTATATTGCACAACAGCAAGAAATCTTTAATTGAATATAAATTCAATTCATATAACAGTTAAACCAATTTCAAGTTCTTTGACTACATTTATTCAGAAACCTCTAATATGTCAAATATTTAATTACAATCCAAATTCAGACCTGTATCAAGCTTGAAAATTGTATCCATTTTTGCCCCAACTGTTCAGGGTTGGACCTCTGCGGGCGTATCCAGCTGCGCTCAGCGAAGCAGTTTATTTACCATAATGGGAAATATTCAAAATAATTGTCTTAATGATAACACATCATCTTCATCATCATTTTTGTATTAGCCTTAGCACATCTCATTTCCATGGAAATTATATGGCCCAGTCCCTCAATCATGGTCCATTGACTTCCTAACGTTTGCATAATTTATATGTAAAAGTTTGTGTTAAGGTCAGTTTAATGGGAACCACTAATGGTAAGTCACTGTTATTTGGTATGCAGTTGTATACTGTAGGTATTAGCATTGGTTTATCAAATTTTCTCGGAAATCAATTGGCCCAGCCCCCAGTTTGTGATGAAGAAGAACCACTTATGATACACAAGTCAATAATATTTAGTATGCAGTTGTTTAAGCATTGGCATATCTCATTTCCATGTAGCTTATTTGGCGGCAATGATCCTGCATAGTGTAATAACATGTTTTAATATCAACATTAGGCATCAGAATTACCCACAGGCAAGACATATCTCTGTTTCAACAGGTAATTAAAAAATAAGGATTCTATTATGAGGAGCCAAACATAATTTCAAGGCCCTAAGACTACCAGGCTTTATTCCCCACCCCCTGGTTTTATAGTAAGACTCTTTGTTGGATGCATCTCAAGTACATATGTACATGCATTGATACAAAATTAAGCAAGTCAGATTTGCCGTGCACATAACATGCACATAACGATGTACTTGATCTCATGCTTAGACATTCTTGCGTTCTTTATCTGGTGGCAATGACATTGGTAAATGAGAAGTATCGACTAACTTGACCTCTATTTTGTAAATTTGTAATGTCCTTATGTTCATTCAAAGGAATTTAGACAGTATAATTTTAATTTTTTATCATGCTTTGTAAAGCACAACACAAATTTCCATTTATTTTGTGGATAAATCTATTCAATGAAATAAACCCACCTCAAAATATTGTCTTATTAGACATTACAATATCATAAATATTATGATAAATCCACCAAAAATTATACTGTAGAACTCATTTCTAAAATAAACAAAATTGTACTTTCCCTCAAATATTTAAAGTCTTATGACCGATTTTTGTGTCTCTTTTGAAGGTTTAATTGATGATAATGATTAACAGTAGCTATATTCAATAAAACCTTTTAATTACAGTTTTATTGAGTTGATTGTTCAGTGTTCACAGTGAAGTGCTATAGAGTTATGGCATATTTTCTCTGTGTGTGCTGCACTACAGAATATTTTTATTGGCTGTTTATATACAACTAATGATGTATGCATTCCTTTCTCTTTGTCCTTGACAAGTATAAACATTCCATGAATGAATGAAGAATTTGGAAGTTACAGAAGTTAAATCGTTGCCAGGGAAAGAAAAGGGAGGATTGGTTCATTGTACTAGATATAACCTAAAGAAAACCATAATAATATATCGACCAATGATCCTAATTATAGGGGTTCTCTTTATTACATGTTTTTAAATTTGTTCAGTTCAGGGTTAGGGTGTGTATCTGATATTAATTGAATTTGAGGTTAAAGGTTAATTATAATAGTATAGAATGATTTTTATTTTTATGAATCAATGTGACCAGGGACCCTTGAAGTAATTGAAAGCTGAAATAGTGATTGCACATTTCTAAAGTACACAGTTCAATGACTTCGTTACGTTAGGTAAATTTGTGTCAGTTTAGACATGGAGAAATAGGACATACATATTTCAATGTATGTTATATAGTAAAACTTTACTTAACCAAACCTTGCTCCAATCAAATCCTGTGTTAACAAAATAACAATACAATGTCATACCATTGACCATTCCTGTTTCTGGCAAAATTCCAATGAAACAGGTCTTTTTTCCTTAAAGTTTTTACAAAATAAGTAAAAATTAAGTGCACAAGAAATTTGCTGATTTCAATGTGGTTACAATAATCTATATATATATGTTGCATATTAATTGATTGGTAACAAGTTAGATGTACAGTACAACATGTGCTTGATATTGACAAATTTGTGTAGGTGGGTGTCAAACAGTATGATATATTTGGCAGGTCATTGTCATGTATTTATCACCAATCTGAAGAATTGTATCTACCTCAAATCAACTTATCTTTTATTTGATGTTGAAGTATTTGGAAAAAAAATACCAAATCTGTTTGTTTATCTCAATAATAGCTTTTTATTTGTAACATCAAATTGAAAGGCTTCACATACATTTTGTATGTAACAATCTTGCAATTATGATAAATGTTTTAAGGTTGTTTTTAAAGGTGAATTAAAAAATAGCCTTAATAGATACTCTTGGCCTGAGTTTCACAAAAAATCTTTTGACTAAGATTAATCATATGTATAGAAACTACATGTATACTGAAATGTTCAAGACTTACTATCTATTTTAGTAGTAATTTTTTTTGTGAAAGGCAGGCCTGCTAGCCTACATTGAGCATGTTGAGTGGCAAAGGTCTTAATCCTGCTTAATAATTACATTGCCATTCATTTTCAAATTATATTATAAATGTTTGACAAATGATCAATTTTCAGAAGTGAACCAGTTAGAAGATCCGAGGCAGGAATGGAGAAGTCAACAAGAACATATGTTGAAGGAATACCTTACTACTGCACAGGATGATCTTCAGGTATATATAGTAGTATAGGCACTTAGCCAGGAGTTAGTTATATCACAAGACACTCTTGGAAAGCTTAACGACTGTAACTTGTAGGTATAAGTTGAATTTTCATAATGTGAATGCCACTTTCCAAAGTATGAAATATATCTGGTGCATTTAAGGTTAGTTTGGAAGAAATGTTTTACCTAAGTCATTAGAGGGAAAGGATTTTCCTCGGTTTGTGAATGGATATCACAGGAGTACAATGTATTACATTGTATTTATCACATTTTATTTGTCAAATAAATTCAGTTTTTGACTAAAAGAAGATCTGTGTTGATACATACTGACACTTTCTGTATAATCATATACAGGTTGTCAGTTCCTAGACGTTGCTACTTTGAATTAAATAACTGCATGTTAATGATATGCAGTATGGTATTGTTTGGTAGGCATACTGTCTCAGCCCATACAGTGATAACTATATTACAAATGTTGTAAACTTAAAAATGCGAAACCCAGTACATTGTATATTGAATTGATGATTGTAAGGAGAAGTTTTTTGTTTGTTTGGAATTAAATAAAAAGATTGTTGTTTAAATTGAACATGAATTGTTTATCAAACGATTTCTCTTTGTTCTGTTTTCCCTTGTATCTTGATCATGAATGTGTTCAGTTTTTAAAACAACAGGACTTTTTTTTACTTCATCATGATGTCAGATGATTAAGAAACTGCAAAATTTGTAGTGCAGGAAATTTGCATTTTTCACATTCTCAGAACACTTAAGAGTAAGTCTGAGATTTAAAACTTTGTACTTTAATTAAAATATTATCCTTGTTAAAATATAAATAGCTTTCTATTACAAGTAACTCTATCCTTTAAAACTTATAGAATGATTTAATTAAGTACACATTACTTATCAAAGAAATACATTATTATCATTTCTCTATACTTAACAACATATCTTGCATTCCATAAAAAAACCACAAAGAGATCTATTTAGAGGTTATTTATTAAAATGAATTGTTCAGGTTTTTTGCAACAGTGATTTTGTGATGATAGTTTTTGTTAGAATTATTTCGATTGTACTTTGACCTGTTTGTGATGTTTTAAGGTGCCTTCATTCTTCATCGGTTAATGGCTGTACATAGTACAATGCACCTTGTTACAAGATTCTTGTGATATCATAATGTCATATTTCTTTTTCTTTAAAATATTTGTGGTAAAACTAATCTCAAGATGGGATTTTAAAAAGATAATAAAAATGTAGATCAACTTTGTCCTTCCTTTTTTTAAAACTGCTATAATATTAAAAGGAGACTATGGTTTTAAAATTTGTATGTTTATCATCAAAATCAATATAAATATCCAAATTTGCTTGAAAAAGGGGAAAAAATGATTTAATATATATTTGGCCAATGTTTCTGTGAAAAACGAGCTGTCTTTGCATATTTATCAGAATTTTATATTAACTTGCAAGAAATAATATTTTTCAGGCCAAAAAAGAAATTTATTCTGTGAAAGAAGAGAGGTTAATACTAGCTCAGGATGAATATCAACACCTGACAGATACTCTTACAGGATGGAAATCATCCAGGACTAGTCGTAAGTTTATTACATAAGAAGTCATCTAGGACTAGTCGTGAGTTTATTACATAAGAAGTCATCTAGGACGACTAAGTTTATTACATATTAAATCATCCAGGACTAGTCGTGAGTTTATTACATAAGAAGTCATCTAGGACTAGTCGTTGGTTTATTACATAAGAAGTCATCTAGGACGACTAAGTTTATTACATATTAAATCATCCAGGACTAGTCGTAAGTTTATTACATAAGAAGTCATCTAGGACTAGTAGTAAATTTATTACATAATAAGTCATCTGGGACTAGTATACTCTAACAGGATGGAAATCATTTTGGACTAGTAAGTTTATTACATAATAGACCATCTGGGACCAATATGATCTTACAAAATGGAAGTCTTCTAAGACTAGTCCTAACTTTATTACATAAGAAATCATCTAGGACTAGTCAGAAGTTTATAACATAGCTGATCATCTAAGACTAGTAGTGAAGTTGGTAGATTCTCTTGCAGGATGGACTTCATCTAAGTCTAGTTCATAACATAATTAATCATCTTGGAATAGTAGTAAGATGACAGTCATCTAGGACTCAAAACTGTCAAATAATATTCAAGTTATGTAATAACTCTTATGTAATCAGTGTGTTAAATAAGATTCAGTGTTGTCTGTAGTAGCTAGCTTGATATTATCTGTATCAACACATAGAAAGGAATCATTTGATAGTCATACTTCCATCAGTAATAAACAACTGCAAAAGGTGTCTTTAAGGTAACATCTCGTATCAGTGACCTCTTGCTGCAGTGTATTATGATTTTAAACTTAATGTTTTTAAAGGGACAATCTTTACTTTTAACATTTATTTACAATTAAATAGTTATTTATTACAGCTCTTCAGGATCACATTATAATACCTAGGAATTCTTAAGTTTGATTTGTATTTTAAATTCCATACCTGTAATGGAAAACCCCAGCAATAACTTATTACAATATTATGACAAGAAAAGCTCCTACTAATTATATTTTAAATATCTTAGTGTCAGGTTATGTCAGTTATTACGTTATCATCATTACATGTAAACTTATTTGTTATGCATATATCTGAACATATGCTAAATATGTAGGTTAACCGAAAATACAGGAAATGTTGACATCGGTTTTACTGTAAAAAATGTCATTCCAGAACTGCTGTAAATGTAAAAATATTTGTTTTCATGTCATATTTTATGTTTTCTGTATGATAGATTCTATGTCATTATTTTTTGTAGTATTGCATGTTTTTTTTTAACAAAAAATGGGTTGTGGTCCAAATTTAGTGAATAAATTGTACTTGATAACCCCATCTCATATGTTACAGTTTTTGTTGATTTTAAAATAGCCCATTAGTTGTGTAAATGGTCTATTTAAATGTATGTATAGGTGGAGTAAACAATACATAATTATTTCCTTATTATTACGACTCTCAAGTCATATCGCATGTTAAATTTGTATGAAAGTAAACTTTGTTTAAAACAATTTTGCTTTCTATGATATGACCCCTACCACTTCAGAAATCTTAAGAATCCATGTGGGCTCTTTGAAATATTTTTGTTAATAAAACAATGAAAAAAAGTAAATCAAAGTCGATTTATGAATTTTAAATGGTGAATACAGTACTATGTCTATGTGCATAAAAACAAGCTGGCCGTTCAGTGACCTATAGTTGTTTACATCATTGTGACCTTGTCCTTTGGTCTTTGATGGATAGAGTCTTGTTGGACATGTTGGAAATCATACCACATCTCCTGAATTCAGTGAAGACGATAAGATGGGGCACTGGCTATTTATTTTGGGCTTGACCACTAGATTTTAGCTGAAAAATATTCATAGTGCTCACGTAAATCTTTTATTTTGTGGCCGGCCACTAGAGGGATAATGTAAGCCTTTTTCTCTGAGCGTTATATACATATATATATTTAAACAGGTTTTCTGACAGAAAAATCAGGTTATTAGTTTGGGGTTGAATGGCAGGCAGGTGTTGTGTTGATTCTGTGAGATAACTTGAGAACACTTGTGACAAAATGGAGGTCAAGATTGGATTTGAAGATTTTCGCTTTTGGCATTTAGGAGTTGTGGCCCTTGATTACAATGATATCAACAAATGTGAGAAAACCTGGTTTGCTGTCAATATGACTGCCTCTTGTATTGATTTGTTACAGTAAAATGTGCAGAAATTTGAAAGCTTGATTTGCTAGACAATATTCAATGATACAGTTATCAATAATCTTTTCTACAATGTGTTGAACAGAATTAGAATATTTGATTTGCATGTCATTATAAAAAATATATACCAGAACAACTGTATAAACTTATATTATATATTTTTCAGTTACTTCTAACTCAAGTGTAGGTAGTAAATATGACCCAGATCTTCTCAAAGCTGATGTCCATCATGCCAAGAAACGAGTTGCCAGACTCCGAAGGGAGTTGGACCAGATCAAAGCTGAGATGCAGTATAAAGAACAAGGACTGGAAACACTGTCAAAGTAAGTGAAATAAAATATAGAAGTATAGAGATGTTTACATTCTTATTTTTGGTTGAAATATAGAAGTATGGCCTGCACCTTTGTTTTTTTTATGGACAAAAGGTCTTATTCATGCTGAATCAGACAATGTTGTAGGAAGACTGCAGTCTTCAACAAATGATTAAAAAATCACCAATGAATTTGTCAATATGTTCACTAAAATAACATTCCTCAACTATTTGTAAAAATTCAAACTTGATGAATAATCATACAAAGTATAAAATTGTTTTATTGATTGCATTTTCAGAGTTGATCAGAAACTGTCTGGAGAGAATAGTAACTATAACATCACACAAGCTGCAGCTATTGTTGGTGAAATCAGACAGATGCAGGCATCCCTTACAGAAGGAGAACATGAAAAACAAAATCTTATGCAGGTACAGTACCCTCTGAAAGTTTTTATTTCAATGTTACAAAATATTAAATGAAAAATGTTATACTGTAAATTCAGAAATGCTAGGAATTAATTAATTTATAAAAATGAAACAGATTGAACTTAGCAATAATTCAAACTCACATACATGTAATGGTTGAATATTTTAATTTCAGTCACTTGCCAAGTTGAAAGAAGAATTTCTGGGTCACAAGAATGGCGGATCTTCTCCAGATGTATCTACATTGTCCATACCACATATGTCCAACACCGCTTCACAGACTGACCTCAGAGGGGAGGTAATAATATTAACAAAATATCAGTTCTAACATTCAACTGAAAAATACCAGAGGGAGCATGACCTTTTGAACTACAAGCCACAAAATGTACCTTCCCCTTTGCATAGTTTATATATACAAATACTAAAGAGATATATCCATGAACTTTTTGATAAATTGTTTGTCAGTTTTTGCCTGAATTTATCAAATATGGGTCATATTTTATTTGCTCAATTCCTACAGTTTCCAAGCTAGAATATTATGATTATAATTTTGTTTATCCGTTCTGGAGGTATATCATCTTGTATGTCTCTAATATCAAACAATACATTTGCTACTGTGTATAGTTCTTATTAAGACAAGTATTATGATTCTAATCTTGAACAAATTAGGATGGACTCATTATTTTCTGAACAAATAGTCCAAAGATTGGTCTTGATTTCCTATATGCTTAGTCAGTTATCAATCTTTCATTACATAATTAGAAGGTCTTTCCGAATTATTTTAAGTAGACCAGGCTATTAAGGCACTGATATTGTTTTTCTACTGAACTTTGAACTCATCATAACCAAAAATCATTATTCTCTAAACTTGTCTAAAAAAAATATAGCAGAAACCTGGAATTATTTAAATGATCTACTAAAATCCTTTATTTCAGGTCGGGCTGAGAAGTGGTACTTACATTGCTGAAATTGCTAGAACAAGGCTGAAGTATGATGAGGCTAAAACAAAACTGTCTGATCTGAAACATAAACTGGCCAATGTTGAGGAACAGATGATCCCTGGACAGAATGAAATGGATAAAGATAGGTATGTCAGGGGGAATGGAAGATGTAGAGTAGAATGAACCATTAGGTTGTATTTGCGATGGAAAAATGAGATCTTACTTTAAGCATGAATTTTGTAGGGAGGCAAAATATCCTTAGACAGAATGAAGATGTTAAAGATAGATATTTTGTGAGATGAGAATAGGAGAGAGTACAAAAAAAAGGATGTGGAAATCTTCATTTGATGTTAAAGTAGCTGATAAAATGAGAATACTTGACACAAAACTGATAATTGAATACTTTACACAAAGCTGAAAAAATGGGAAACTTAACACAAAACTGATGAATTGAGAATACTTTACACAAAGCTGATAAAATGGGAAACTTAACACAAAACTGATGAATTGAGAATACTTTACACAAAACTAATAAAATGACTTTTGTTATAAAAGCACTCAATGGAAGCCTTTGATTTACAGGTATTTATTTCGTGAAACACATGAATAAGAGACAATCTTTAATTGATACAGTAATGTTTTTCAGATTAATGTTAATCAGTGAGAAGGAACAGCTATTACGTGAACTGAGGAGTATTGACATGAAGGGACGTAGCAATGCTGACATAACATGTGTCCAGAAAAAGATTCAACAGTTAGAGTTTGACATAAACCATGCCGCTGAAATATCGAACAAACAAATTGCTGACAGGTATTAACTGAAGAAGATAACAGTTTATTTCATTAAGAAATAAAATTAATTTAAAGATAAACATACAGGTTCATGTCTGTTATAGATGTTAAAATTGAATGTTTCCCTATGGAGGTCACATGGAAGAAGAAAGTTTTGAAGAGAATACAACTGTGTTTAACAAACATTTTCACATTATTAGGAGCATTGAAGTATATCATTATTAGATATGATACCTTTTGAATTGATCTCTATTTTAAGTCACTAAGAATTGATCTTAAGTGTCAAACTAAATATTTGATCTTCTAACCACGAAAGTAATGAAATAAAATTGAGAATGGAATTAAGGAATGCATCAAAGAGACAACAACCCGACCAAAGAGCAGAAAACAGCCCAAGGCCACCAATGGGTCATATGTAGGTGACCTTTGACACATGAACTTGTACACCTTAAATAATTCTATACACCAAACATTGTTTCAGTTAGTATTTTATATTAAATATTTTTTGAATACATTTTCAGACTACAGTTACAAGTAGAGAGAACAAGTCTGGTAAAAGACTTATCAGATACAACCAGACTGGCAACAACTCTGGAAACACAGCTACGCAGGTATCAGAAAATGTGAAAATCAAATGATTAATAAACACAAGAATTCAAAATGTCAACACAAGATCTTAAACTAGTTGGAAAATAAATTTCATTTTACTTAATGACGATTTCCAATAGTTATAAGAAGATGGAAAGGAGAAAAAGTTGGAAAATGACATTATTTAATACATACTTAAAAAAAGAGAAATAAAACACCTTCTTTTCATACTATTAACTTCCCTATTGGAGGTCATTTAGCTTTGAAAAGCTGGTAAAGACTTCTATTTTGTCATGGTTTGTTTTGAAATATGATTATGTTGGCCTTAGTCTTGGTCTTGTTTTGAACATAATATGTAAAATACAATTAAAAGAAAGAAATTATAAATTCAGAAAGAACCATCCATCACTAAGTTGTAGTAACTTTTAGGATGTCATAATCTTTTTAACTTAATGTTTATAATTTCTTTTTCAGTTTGTATTCATCAGTCAGTACATTATCTGTTTCCTCGGGATCCAGTCTGGGATCTATGGGATCATTATCCTCACTTAGTCGTAGTTCATTAAATTCAAATAGTATGATAGACATTTATGGACAACAACAGCATTCTTCAGATCTACCTGACCTTCACCGGAGGGTAGAAAAACTTCTCCAAGGTCATAGTATTTCACCCATACAGGAAGTTCATATTTCAGACACTACAGCAGCAGCTACGAACAATTACCTTCAGAGTGTTATGGCCAGTAATTTATCATCGTCAATGAAATCGTTATCATCCCGCTCATCATTATCGTCAGTTTCACCACCCATCTCACCGTATGATATTGGACCTCCACCCTCATATGAACAACATATGACTGGTGGAGATCGAACACGTAAGGTACCTTCGTACTCTGTAAATACAAACATTGGTGTTATTGCAGAGGCACCTAGTGGCCTGCAATTAAATATTATGGCTGAACAATCAAAATTAACTGGGGATCCTGCATTGTTGCAGGTAAATCCCACCGCAGAATTTTCTCCACCAGTTCAAGCAGCAACAGGACAATCACTCCAGGGTGAACCTGGATATCAAAGTGTTGCTAATAATAATGTGAGACGTGCACAATATCCGGATAATTTAGACTTGGGATCTATTCCACCATTAAGTCCTATTAGTGAGACCAGTTCTGGTGTATGTAATAATTTATCCGGTGGAAATACAAGGAGTGTATCTGCAGCAGTCAGTGATGAATCTGTAGCAGGAGATAGTGGGGTCTTTGAGGCTTCAGTTAATATTACAAAAAGGTAAATTTATTGAGTTAATGTGGTCTGTTGTAAGTGCAGTATTTTTTTCGCAAATCTTGTTATCTTGTGTATGATATTGATTTATTGATTTTATTGAAGAATGAAAATAAATAAACATTGTATGCATGATTATTTGAACGAGTTAGTTAGTTTAAAGAACTGTACCATTTTGAAATTGGTTGAATACTATACACAGATTTAAAGCAAGTTTTGTGGAAGCAGACGTACAATAAATGATCAGAACTACTTTTAGGAGATATTTTTTGCAAATCCTAAGTGGAGCCACCTGTAACTACGGAGTTAATTTATCAAATCTTAAGGAACAATTCCAATAAAGGAAAATGATAGAAGTAGTAAAACTCGGATATAGTAGACACACTTATTAATATTCATAAAGGAGAGTGTAAATTTCCATAAAAAGCATTTTAAAAGAATGATAAATGTAGAAATCAAATGGAACTTGATTCAAATGCAAATATGAAGGTAAGTCTAGAAATAATTTCCAAACATTTTTTCAATATTGTATTACAATTTTTTTTTACTTCCAACTTATGAAACTTTGGCCTCTGTCTTTGTAGAGATGATTTGGATGAAGTCTTGGAGATGAATTTAGAAAGTGCTCAAATTCAAATCAAACTCAAGTAAGTAAATGTTGCACAACAGTATGTAATATATATATATATATATATATATATATATATATATATATATGACCAGAGTAAAACAATACTATGTGTCTTTCAATGTTTTAATGTTTACATAAAGCTTTTAAACATATAAGAAAAAAAAAACAAAGCATTTCAAAGGTCTTAGGGCTGTTCCAGAATTTAAAAAATACATGGGGGCATGGGAGGCATTTTTTATAGACCACAGCAATCCATAATATAAAATTTTCATTTTTACTTACAATTTTGATAAAATTGATAGGAAAATGCAACAACCACATGTGCATCCCATCACCCACGCCATGGTCAATTTTGGAACAGCCCTGAGTAAAAGACCTTTGAAATAAAACAGCTAATTTAAATGCACTATTTATCAATTGGTGAAGTAAAAAGAATTCCAAAAACATAGAAAAAACAATTAAGTTATGAATTGGTGGATTATTTGGTATAGATATGATAGAGGAGAAATATAATGATTATTTCCGCAACTGATGCTCATACATCAGAAACCTTTCAATTATATATTGTCATTCTTACAAAATTTTGCATGATACATTGAACCTTATAGATAGCCACAAGGTATTAATTAAAAATTATAGCTGTTTAAGATTTTTTTAAAGTATAGTTTTTGGAATCAGTACTTTTAAACTTATTTCATTATTACCTAACTTTTGAAGGATATTTAAAGAGATGCATTTGAGTTACACATATATCTTTACATTGTAGATATGAAGGTGTTGAGAGTCAGTTATTAATAGGTATTGAACAAGGAAGAAATTTATCAGCATTAGCTTTCCCATCTGGAGGCAAAGTGTAAGTAGTATAGTTTGGTTTGATATTTGAATTAATAGATAGTGTGCACCATTTGTGATGGGAATAAGATACAAATAACTAAACTATTCACAAGATTGAGAAAAATGTTTGTTTGATAAGACTCTTATTCATTCTTTTACCAAACACAATTTCACAAAAAATAACTGCAAGGTCTACAAGGTACATGAAATATGGCCATGTCAAAAAATTGTGCCAATAGACATCTGTTGAAATTCTGGAAAAAGGTAAAAAGCAAAAGTTACAAGAACAAAATTTGAAAGTTTTTGTAAAGGTGATGATATCTTGGGTATTCAAATTTTTTTTAAATCGTAGCAAATAGATAATTGTAAAATGTTGAAATTATTTTTTGTCAATAAATATTGGGAAATAGATTCACAACTTCATTGACCTGTTTTGAATTACTAACTTTTATTCATTTTCATTTCCCATTTATAAAAGAAAAATATTTGTTGTTTCCGCAATGTTTATTGGAAGAAAGATTGGTAAACTTGATTTTCTTTCTGACAGGTATATTAAGGCAGCGTTATTACCTCATTTGAAGAATGCATCCGTCTGGGAAACAAAACCTCTGGCAGATTTGAAGGGTCCCAAATTTTCTGAGACTTTTCATTTGACAATACCAGAACATAAAGTTCGAGACAAGACGCTTCAAGTCAATGTCTGGAGTAAACATGATATTTTCGGTGATGAGTGTTTAGTGAGTATTTATTTTTTATAAGTGTGTAAAATGAGTTCAAGTAACAAAAGCCAATAGTTCATTATTTTCAATTGTTTATAGACATAAAAAGAAATTTCATTCATTTTATTGCATCAGACAACTTTTATACAGAAGAAACCTATTTGGGACAGATAGGTTTTTATGAGAAAAAAAGTCCTCAAAATATTATACAGAATTTCATTTCGGAATGGTCCCTATACCTAAAAATTAAAACCAATTTGAAAATTTTTCCAAAATTTTTCCCCAAATTTTAATTTCACCAATGAATCTCAGATTAACAAGTATAGAGATATGACCTTAGGAAAGTATGGATGATCAGTAATTAAATTCAATTTTTCTGTTAATTATGTAAGAAGTACTGATAAAACTTAAACAGTTGAGAATGTTTTATTTATACATAAGATATCTAGCGAAAGCACTTTAGCCAAAATTTGATAGCAGCAATTTAAATTGATCTATCAATCAGCCATTCTCAAACATATTGAATTTATGAATATATTTTTGTTAAAATAGTTATTGTTGTTTTCAGGGTTGTGTTCAAGTTAGTCTGGCAGACTTTGATCCCAAGTTGGTTTCTATGAGATGGTATAATGTGTTGAGCTTTAAATTTATGCAAGCAGATAATACTGGAAGTAAACCAAAAACATCACAGCCATCCTCAACTTCATCTGGGTCATCTTCTGCTCCTTCGTCATTAACACAGGTATGTACAAGAAATAAACTTTGTTAAACATATAAGTAAAAACGTCTTTTCAGCAGATTCATTTATTTTGGTGGGTACCTATTTTTCATGGAATGAGGATTTTTTTTAATTTTCTTCCTTTATTTGTTGTGTTTTTGCCAAAGTCTGCATACAAGCCTATAGAAAATTTGTACTTTGTCGAACATTTAAATTCCTGGTTCACCTCAACCCACAAAATTCATGAATATTGGTATCCCACGAATAATAATGATAAAATAAACCATGCACTCACCAGCAAACAATTTATAAGGATTGGTGTTTACTTATTTTATTGTTCACTAATTTATTGTAAAATACTTTTTAAGATAACCACATTTTAAGCAGGATGGTCAATTGACCACTGATTTTGATAAAGAAAAGTAGTATCTACTCCTCAAAAGCAACCATCAGATTGGTTTTATGATTGATTTGATTCATTTAAATTGATTTTTATGTCCTTATCAAATAAGTCTTCTTACTTATATACCCACAAATAATTGAAATAAAACTCTTATTTATTAATAACATATATCAAAATTTCATTTTCAATGTTTGAAACAAAGCCACAGCAACAGCTGTCATTTTCAGCTTAAATAATATCTCAATCATTCTAGGCATTTACTATAGCATACCCAAAGTTTATTGAAATAAAACTCACAATATATCAAAAGCGAAAAGGTAAATTTCATTCTCAATGTTGAAAACAAAGCACAACACAAGCCTTCGGTCGTTAAACTTTTGGATATGATTATCCTACTCAGACTCAGAAATCAACCAATCAGAAAACTGGATTTAGTGTTTCGAGCATAAATTTTGTACTCTGAGTACTGAGTAAAGTTTAATAACTAATAGGCCATATATTGGATATGACATTTAATGTATTGTGTTGTTATTTTCAATAGAAGGAAGGAGGTGATAGGGTAGTACAGTTGTTGGAAGCTTCCTCTGCTCGTCTTGAAAAAACTGGATCTGGATCAGAAAGTTCCAAAACTAAGAGGTAATAATTTCGTTTTTTTTATTGAAGAACTGAATCTATTTTGTAGTTAATAAATTTTCCAATGCATTGTTGAAAGGTTGTCAAACAGAGAAACAAACATGCTGTAAAGTGGACATGTCAAATACTGGTGAATTTTAAATTGATTAAATTATGAACCTTTTAAAATACCAAAATAATATGAAATGGAAAAATTGCTGAATTTTTCGTTTCCGTTCTTTAACTTTAGTTTACCTCAACCAAATGTTATGAAACTTATACACAATGCTTATTACCACAAAACACAGATCAAGTTTGAATTTTGGTGGCGTCACTCTTACCGTTCTAGAGTTATGCCCCTTTACAAATGGAAAAATTGCTGAAATATTCGTTTCTGTTCTGTAACTTTAGTTTGCCTCAACCCAATGTTATGAAACTTATGCACAATGCCAATTACCACAAAACACAGATCATGTTCGGATTTTGGTGGCGTCACTTTTACCGTTCTAGAGTTATGCCCTTTACAAATGGAAAAATTGCTGAAATTTTCGTTTCCATTCTCTAACTTAAGTTTGCCTCAACCAAATGTTATGAAACCTATAAACAATGCTTATTACCACAAAACTCAGATCATGTACAAATTTGGGTAGCGTTAATTTTACAGTTCTTGAGTTATGTCCCTTTATAACGTTATATACAAGCTGGGGCATCATCTGTGTCCCATGGACACATTCCCCATTTTTCTTATTAGATGTTCTATAAAAATTGTAACTTAGATAACATGAAAGTAATTTGAATAGAAAAACAAACTTGAAAATATTTCTATCTCTTCATTAGCCATCACAAAGGGAAGCATCCAATTGTTGCTGTACTCAAAGAGGAAAGTAGTGATGAATCAACTATAATATCTTCTCAGACATCTACACTGACCAGAAATCAAGGTAGGTTTATCACTTATAGGCAAAATAAGGAATTGCCTCATCATTTTCTTTGAGATGAATCTGAACCAACTTTAAAAAAAAGGATGTGCTTATGTGTTGGTCTTTAATAAAATATATCAAATGAAAATTTTCAACTATTTGCAACAACCATACAATGAAACACTTAAAACAAAATTTTCAACTATTTGCAACAACTATACAATGAAACACTTTAAATATAATTTTGAACTATTTACAACATTTGCAATTAGATATTCAATCAAGATTGTAACCATCCCTTTATATATAGGTTACTTCATTGCTCAGCTTTTTATGAAATATATCAAATAAATATTTTGACAATAATTGCAACAACTATACAATGAAACACCAACTTTACAATGAAACTCTCAAGATAAAATTTTGAACTACTTACAGCATTTATATATCAATTTTACTAATTTATCTATCTACTAAATGTATAAATGTAAGTATATGAATATTTTAGGTGCAGATGAAATGCAGCGACACAATGACACTGAAGGAAGTCGATTTACTATAGGAGACGATGAAGATGAGGATGAAATGGATGAGGAAGATGAAGCAGTAAGTTTTAATTATATTATTTATTTACATAGATAGTTACTGTCCAAAAAGTTAAATCTAAGTTTCTTGGGCACTCCACGTCTATTCAAAGGCTACTGTGTAGTTTGCATAGCAAGGAATTGGTAAATAAGTTATTGCTGATTTCAATAATGGTTAAAACAATCTTTCTGGGATGTCCTTTCAACCCTTTTGCTCTGCTGAGGGTAAAAAAAATCAGTCGTCAATGCTATTGATGTGTGTTCAGATTTGTGTTAGCAACTGATATGTGTTGTCAAGTAAAAAGTATGAAAGTAAAAAAACTCTGGCATTTGTAACTTGGGAAAATAAAAATTGAATTTTTGCAGCATTATGGCTGATTTGTGCCTTTTTTTATGGTTTATGTTTGGGTAAAGAGTAATTGCTAGTAGAATTTTTAGCTATTAGTTGAAGTTTCCAAAACAAGAGAAACTGCAAACAACTTGATATCTGAATTACTTTTACAATGATGGGTTGCCCACTTATATGCAGTATGAAATGTAGGGTATGAAATAAATCGTCCTTATAAAGTGATAGTTTTTTGCCTAGAATAGAAGGCATTACAATATCCAAAATTAAAGATAATAATCGCTACATGTATAGATTAAAAAACTACAATGTGGTCAAGGAAATATAGCTTTATATTTTAGAATTGTGGTGTTACTCTAAAAACATGATAAATATCGTCAGTGCATAAACTTTTAGATTTACTAAATCTTTCAGCGCTAATTAATTTTTAAGAAAGGACATTTAAATTTTTAGGATTACAATGAGAAAATTCAGGAGATTCTTGAAGAGTTTGATCATGCTGTTGACATTGCTTGTAATGATGATTTTATTGAACAAGATGATTCTGCAGTGCGATGTGACAAGGAGACTAACACGGAAGCAAGGTACTCTGATCGTCCTCCAATCAAACGTAGAACACAAGACGGTACACGTAGTAGTACTATACGGAGATCACAGACCTTCTCTCCAGCCTGCAGACCAGGGTCTAATTATGTATGCAAGGTAGGCTTGATAGCGTCAAAAAGAACATTAGAATGGAATTCATGATGTAGGTACAGAAGTTCACTTTACATGGCTCTTTTCATTAATGCACACCCTCAGAAAAGTCTCTTAATAACTCATTTAAATCATCCCTCTAATGGGAAGCCATCTTGCAAGGTCACATTTTCATTCCAGAAGTTTATCATAAAAGAGGTTGACCTAAATACAGTCATAATTATGAGAACTTATTCAATATCAATGCACATATATTTACAAATTTATGTTTTTTCTAAGATATGTAGATTTAAAGGTAATTTTAATTTATTGTAGCTTAACAGAAGTGACAGTGACGGGTCTATGCCGAATTTCAAAAAGGGATCCTTTCATCGGCATTCCATGGAGCGCAGAAGTTTAAGATGGAAGAAGGTAGATTTTAGTAATTAGCAGCAACAAACCATTTTGTACTGAAATAGTTATAAGACAAAATATTTTGGCATACTATGTCTAGCTATATTTAGTAGTACTATAGTTGCATTTGGAAAGTCATAAGGAGTAGCCATTTCAAAATGGTGAATTTCAATGTTCTTTTTATTTTGAATTTATCAGTGTGTCAACTGGATTGGCTGCTCAAAACATGATTAAAATCATAAGGAGGTCTGATTTACATTTAAAAGAATTACGAATAAAATCAGAAGTTCGATACTTGTATTCACAATTGCATGTATATTTTGTGAATTTCAAAAACAATTGTTCCTTTTTATGTATATCTTATATGGCATAAGGGGCATGAAGTTCTATAGGTGTAAGAAAATGAATATGAAGACAGTGTGGAAATTGACAAATTGGGTAGATGAAGTGTTCGTTTGTGATATAGTGACTTTTTTACCCCACTCATCTTTTAATCACCTTGTCCATCTGTTGGTCCATTAGTTCGTTGTATGTTGGACCATATGTCACAACAGACACTTTCATCACAATTTTCTAAGGAACTACTGATTGACTTCATATCTGGTCAGCAGCTTGAAAGGGATGAAATGTAACCAGTGACTGCTTTAAGAATCTTTTTTCAGACATCTATTTCCTGTTTTCTGATACTTTGAATTAAATTTGGGATATGCTTAGCACAACAATGGCCCAAGAACACAGTTATTTCGTAGTGCATTTCTTTTAGACAATAAATTCAAATTAAAAAATCGCACCTGCTCTATCTCAAAAAGATTTTTACAGTGTATTATACTACTTTTGGGACAAATTATAGAAAAGTCTAGCAGCTGAAACTCAAAATATGGACAATTCTATGTTAAGTTGGTTTATAATTCAGTTTGAGAGCTTCAGACATACTAATTTTTTACCTTTTTTAACTGGACCAAATCACTACTTTACCTAAAAAATTCATCACCCAAGTTTTATTTAGCATGTAATTCCATCCCCCTAAACATTTCATGCATAAAATTTAAAGAAATAAATTTTAAAAGTGTATGAAAAAAATTGCAAGTTATACACTGTCCACACTAGGGACTATATTTGTATACATACAGAAATCAATGGATGATAACTGTGTCCTTGGACCCAATACCAGCAAATTCTTGTGGTGGTTATAATACATGTAAATAGCAAATGTAAATTTATTATTTTACCTTTGCTACTGAGGAAATGAGAATCAGTTGTTAGCACAATATTGTTTCTACAGAAATCTACAAAAAATGTATACATGTGTAAACCTGCTAACTTGGAAAGGATAAGGCCAGTGAAATTCATGTATAATCAATTATATTTTTTAAAAAAAATAATGTGAGAAAAATTTGTTATAAGTAGTAAGTATAAAATTAAAAATTCTTACAAATTTATTTTTAGCCACCCAGTATTGTGGAGAAGGGAAGAAAGTTGCCACCGCGTACATCATTGGATTTAGAACTTGACCTACAGGCGGCTCAGACAAAACTCACCCATCTCCATGATGAAATAAACAGACTTAAACAACTTAAGACATTATTGGAAGATGCAAAATCAAAAGGTAAGTGAACAAAGTATTCAAAGATTTCTCAGGCGACTAAAATTGTCATTTTGCAGAGAGTTATTGTATACAGTGTTGGTCAGCTATTGGCATGTTATTTTTAAAATAAAAATGAGATGTGGTATGATTGCCAATGAGACAACTATCCACGAAAGTTCAAATAAAGTGGATGAAAGCAATTATAGGCACCTGTACAGCTTTCAACAATGAGAAAAACCCATACTGCATAGTCGGCTGTAAAAGGCCTGACATGAAAAATATGAAACAATTCGATTGAGAAAATTAACAGCCTAATTTATAAAAAAATAGTTTTTTCAACCTCAATATTTTCAAAAATGAGACAGAACCAAAGCAAAATTATGAATGACTGTCATTGTTAGAAAATGAAACGCAAAGGAAAAGTGCAAATAATGTTGCTTGCATTTGACTGTTTGTAAAAAATATTTTATTACATGTATTTAACTGCTGACCAAAGCAGAGACTTTAATTGAATTATTTTCTAATTTGTAGGGGAGCCTGAATTACCACCATGGTTAGCTGATGATGAACATTTTCATAAACTCCTGTCTGATGCTGATAAATTGGTAGGTATCAACTTTCGCTGTTTTTTTAAAATACGCAAAAATTGTTGTAGAAGATACCAATTTCATTGGCATTTGCAGTAGTAGAGCACTATCTATATATAGCCCTATTTCAGGAAATGTTAAGTGACCTGTCATCCCAGTACTAAAATTGATCTTAAATCATTCAAGAGAAAAAAAAGTTTCCAGGTCTCCATAAGGAGACCGACCACCTTACTTTTTAACCCAACTTTTTTTGTTGACATAGGTAATTCTTGTCTTGTTGTCTTGAAGTCAGCACATTATATGTTATTCAGGTCTCAGACAGGGTATATAATGTAACATTCCCGGCTTAGAGTTTATATTCCCTGAGCCGAAGGCGAAGGGGATATAAACCTTAAGCCGGGAATGTCACATTATATACCCTTTCTGAAACCTGTATTACACATATATTACGGATTACCCTGCCTTTATGCTTTTTCGAGTACCAGATATTTGTTAAACATTCACCATGCAGTATTTATATTTTCCGCATACGTAAGGGATATAGTAATTTGCTGTGAAAATGATTTTATCGTGTGTGAAATAATTTGTAATAATACTTTAAGACATTAATTGAGTATTTGATGTGTAAATCACGTGATTTTAAATTAAAAACGTATTATTGACGGATACATGTCATTATTTTCCCTCTGTGAGCCTCTGACATTCTGTATAGCTGAAGACTACGTCACATAGTAATGTTTGTTATGATGACGTTGTTGATGTTCCAATCGGGGTGAAAAACGTTGTATATACCCCGGCAGTTTCCTGAATATATACTGACATATCTGTGTTGTTATCCAATCACAAAACTCGACACATATGTAATCTGTAATATAATGGGATATTATCTGATTAGGTTCATTTCAGAAGAAAATATTAAATGGGCAATTGATATTAAACTAACTGTTGCATTAGCATCCATTCAACTCAGTTGCATGCAGTGGATGGGGTCAGTTTTTCGGTCATGATCCAGTGACTTCAATTTTTCATTGTTCTTATGTGAGATTATCTGAATAGATGTGTTTATGAAGAAAAAAATTACAACATATCATTGATAGTTGGCAAGATGTTGAATGCGTTCATGAATTTTAATTTCAAGCAGTGGGAAATTTTTTACATTTTTGAATTTTTGAAATTTGTGCTAAAAAATGTAAACTAATGATAGACCATTGATATTTTGAAATGTGAAGAACATGTTTTAGAAGTATAAATGCTCTTGATATGTTATACCCTCTACCATATACACACACAGTAATATGTCATTTCAAATAAAAATGCTGGTATTACTTAATGCAAAGCAGACAAGAACCAAGAGTTGGAGCCTTATGGAATAAAATAACTGATTCAAGATTAGAATGATGGAAACTAGACATCTAGGTTAAAAAAAATATAAACTGCTTTGAAACAAAATGTGATTTTATTAAGAAATCCTGGTTCAGAACAAAGTTGGTCTTTATATTGCAGACATTAAGAATGATTAAGACAACACAAGAAAGACATGTAAGAGTTGTTAGCATGTTTTTAATATTGTTGTACGTGTCTCACACCCAATATATGTACAAGATTGCATGGTCAAGATTTTTACTCTCTGTGTATATGATCATGATGATCATGTGTTGTGTAATTATATTTTAATATTTCATATTTTAAAGCAAATATGAAGAACTTATAACACTGCATAAATTTTATGTTATGATATGAATGATTTAAATTTTCTTTATTTACGAATGATTGTTAGCATGAGCATGCTAGTCTTTAATTTGTATTAATTGGCAACAGATGCACAAATTTTACGAATTTATAAGTAGATATGAATTTTATTTTAAAAACTTGAAATCAACATTTATGCAGTATATTATTTAAACCAGTAATGTTCACTAAACCATCTTGTAACAACCCTCACTTAAAATGTATATAAATGCAATCATATGCATAATAACACATTTGTATGTATGGTATACCCAATATACACAGGGAAATAACTATATATCAGAGGAACAGTACTTTTATTGTTGTTCTTCATCTTAACAGTTTCTGGTTATTTTTAACCCTCCTTAAAAGAAGGGAGGTATAATATATATTGATCTTGTCTTGATTTTAACGAAACAATTGCACAGTTTTAATCACTGTGTGAAATTATGCACCTATTCTTTTCTTTAATCAATAAAAGAATTTTGCTTTTTCCTATGCAGCATCCATAGAGTGTAGAGTGTTTAAGCTTCTTGTTCCTGTGTTTTCATATCAAAGAAAAAAGTGTATTCACAGTCTTTTCTGCCCTTGTAGTGTTTAGGCCTATTTCAGAAAAAGCATCCCTTTCTGGAACAAGGGATGGAGTGTTAATATAAAGAGGTAGAAAAACACTTTTTTGTTGCATCAACTATCAATACAAATTTGGGCTGTTCTATTTAAACATACATGGTTCCCAGGAAAGATCCTATCTATAATGCTGTTTCTAAATGGGGTAAGCACCTATAGAGGTAAATCTAGAATGCCAATTCCATTTTCACTTTTCTTGACACCCATCCATAGATGAAAATTTAAAGTGCCTTACCAGGGTTCCTTGTATGCAACTGTCCTTGATTAGAAATCTGAGATTTTGCTACTTGAAAATTTTAATGATCACCTGCCATAAATTGATTTAATTGAGTGTCTTTCAATTGCTCCAGTGGTGATATTTTATTCTAAATTTACCTGTATACTGGTATATGGACATTGTTTTTTGTTACATATACCTTAAAATTGAATACATTTACAATGTTCTTCCAACATCTATACTATTTTTATGGAATATATATTACATAGTAGTTGCAAAAATTGTTTCTATATTGGTCATTTTAAGAAACTGAATATGTGGTTGATATATAGTCTTAAGATGTGTTGTACTTTTATTATTTTTGGGCATGCATTATATTCAGTTATGAAGAAGATTGCACAAATATTTCTATTTATATTTTCTCTAAATTCCTGTTTACAATTATTAAACTATATTAAAGATTAAGAGTACAGTGATTTTTCCTTGTAAATGTCCACGAAAACATATATTTATAAAATGAGCAAAATGGAAAAGAAGAATTATTTCTTTTAGTTTCAGATACATAATTCAGCCAGTTTGTTTCACTAAGAACTTAAATTACAATTCACTATGGTCTATTTCATTGACTTAAAATGAGTTTGGTTCCATACAAGTTTTATTAGTTAAGTAAACCAGTGGAGACATTTTTCTTACAAGTTAATACACCCAATGTATACCAATGTGTTTTGTCTTTTTTAAGGTTCAAAAAGAGAAGAGAACATTAACAAAACAAGATAGAAGAGCTCAACATTTGATGAAGAAGGTTACAAAGGAAGTACAAATGTTAAAGCGGAATAGTCCAAACTCAAATGCTTTAAACTTTAGGTATGTGTTATATTATGAAATATTTGTAGTAAATGAATAAAAATAACTCATTTTATCTGTATAGGAAATTCCTTAAGGAGGATACTTAACACTTTAACATGTTTAAAGAAATAAATATATAAATCAACTGCATTTTAACACTCAAAATTTCCATTCTATGACATCTTCTGTTTTTTGCCATTATGATATATTATAGGGAATTTAATGGCTCCTCCACCAATTAAATCTGGCTGCCAGTATATAGCCAATAGTGCTGAAAGTGGCGTTAAACACCAACAATCAATCTTTTTTAGTTCCCTACCAACGAAGTTGAAGGGGACTTTAGGTTTGCACTCTGTCTGTCCATCCATCCGTCAGTCCCGCAAATCAGTTTTCCACACTTTTTTTCTTCATGCTTGAAGATATTAATTTGATATTTGGTGTATTGTTTTATCATGACAAGTTACAGATCAAGTTCAAATTTTGTTCCGGTCTGATGATTTTGTGCAGAATTATGGTCCTTGGACTTAGAAAAATTCACTAAAATAATCAGTTTTCAACACTTTATTTCGTCATGCTTGAAGATATTGACTTGATATTTGTTATATATTTACACCATGACAAGTTATAGATCAAGTTAGAATTTTGTTCCAATACAATGAATTTTTAACCGGAAGGGGACTATGTATTGCCATGCAATACTCACAGAATGCTTGTTTACAACAGCTTATAAAGAATTATGGTTTGCCTAAAAAACGAGCATACTTAAAATTTAGTTACTAAATACATAATTAGTTTTTGCTGCACTTAAAAAATGACAAACAATAATGGATTAAAATAAAAATATTATTTGAAGCTTGATGTTTATTTTGTTACATATTATAGGGAGAAGATGGCCTTTTTCACCACACCTAACATGACTGTGCCTGTAATACCAAACGAGAGTACAGACAATGCTGATGACCCAACCATAGAGGAATTTCTCAATGATGATGATAGAAAAGGGGAGGAAGTGTAAAAGGAATCATTAAAATGTTTTTATTCTGAAGAATTAATGCATACTTACACAGTGTCTAAAACACACCGATGATTCAGCAGAGCATTTGGGATATTGTCAGTGTTTATATACACAATTAATTGTAACAGTTGTCAAGCTTCTTTGTGAAGCTGATAGTGTGTCATTCCACGTTTTGTAGAATTCCGAGTTGTTATTCCAATAGAGAGTTGGTTGTTTTGGTTGTGAACTTGAAAGGGAGAGAGAGAGATACAAGGTTGTTGAAAACATTATGTGGTTACCAGATTAAGCATTATATTGAATATTGATATGTATTTTTTAGAGCAATAATGAGTAATGTGATATCAAGTATTCTTGAAAGATATTTATTTGAAATCAGTTTAACATGTTGCAACATATATATATGAGAATTAGAATTACAGAAATTTTCAGAGCTAAATGTTGATTAGATTCTTGTGATTAATACTAGATAAAAAATTAATTACCATATGTATATGTTGAGTTAAAATAAAGCATATAGACACTCTTTCAAACCGACATACCCTCAGAGAATAGTTTGCAAGTAGTTTAATATTAGAAAATTATTATGGCATTAATAGAAAATATATATCAGGTATCTTCAGGCTCATTTCACATTGTAATGGATTGAACATTCGTTAAGATTCATTAGATGATCTGATTCATACTTTTAACACGTGTATAATCCTAGATTAGGATTCCATATATTTCATAAATAAATTGATCCTTAAAACTGTTACCCTTCACTTGTACAGGGTATATCTGGCTCACAATAAATCTTACGACAAAAATTATTGTAGGTTTACTGAATTGTTGAAGCCTTACAATCAATTTTAGTTGCAAGTTTTTTTGTGAAAAATTATCCTGTACTAGATCCTAGTTTTGTAGTAAAAAATTGATATTATGTACCAGTATTTACATTTTTTTTTTATGTCAGTTTAATGACATGTTTGTGCCAAATTTTGAAGAAAAAAAATGTTTCACTGTACAGTAGCCTAGTATGAGAACTGAGCTTCTGCTAGTATCATTTTAGTTATTACAGAAAAGTAAGCGGTTGTGAGAGCTTGTTGTAAGAATCAGTTTGCCTTTTTAAGCTTGTATTTAAATCAATCAATAAATATCACAGACTTTCATTATATGACCTTGAGGGGATATGAAATAATGATTTCTCACAATGAAAGTATCTTGCTTGAACATCGAATTTTTCAGTCACATATAAGAACCTTGAAAAGTCCCTTTCATATACAAATTCTTATAGATTATTAAAATATCTATATCTTGACAAGGCTACGCATAAAAAACTGGTATCATTTTGCTCTGTTTTACATAAAGATAAGGTAGCGGAGTTGGATAATTAACGGGGTTTTGTATATAGAATCAGTCAATATTTTTCTGACGTAAAACAGATGCCTTTTGAAATTTGATCTTTTAAAGATCACTTCCCTTTTATATACACCCTTTATATTTGTACATATGATTTGTGTTAGTTAAATCAAAAAAGTTTTTTAGATATTTTATATGTGATATTTTGTTCTGCTGGTCAGTCAAATTTTTTACTCTTTCCATGATTATTATTTTTTCCTTAATCATGAATATATGGGGTGCTAAAATATTGATGTAATCAGTACACTGGCAAAATTTGTGAAAAATGAGATTTTATAGTTTTCAATAATCTATATTTTAAAAACAATTTTTGACTAAATATTTACATTGTCAATTGATCGATATAATGTAATGAATGTGAAGTTTTGTTCAGCTGCTTCTGAAAGAAGCATGTATATGACCAATATATAGTTGATTTAGAAAAAAAAAAAACACTTTTGCCACTGTGTTGAATGCCTCAATGGATTTTCTTACTTAAACATATGTGTAAAGAATTACTTGTTATAAACATATGTGTAAAGAATTAATTTGGTATGTAAAGCTGTATATTGTAAGCAGCTATGTCATGAAGCTTTTGCTACCATTGCCCTTAAATCAAGGCTAATTTGTAAATATTGAGCAAGCTTTTTTATGAAGCTAAATGCTTTGTTCTGGTTATCCTAACTGTAAATATTGAGCAAGCTTTTTTATGAAGCTAGATGTTCTGGTTATCCTAACTATATTTGACTACCTGTAAATATTATGCTAGTTTTGTTATGAAGCTAGATGCTTATAATAGCATTACTGTTTAATTAACTTAAAACTAGCATTGAAAATGTTATAAAGTTGGTTCTAGAATTGTAAAGTTTATAAAGTTGGTTCTAAAATTATAAAGTTTATAAAGTTTGAACTTAATTGTAAAGTTTATCAGGTTTTTCAAGGAAAATTTTGTTTGATTATTTATACTTTGATGAACAATATTTCAATTTAGACTTGTGTACAAAATATTTATAATTATTGTCTTTTTTGTCAATTTAAAATGTTGATTTTTGGATATGATACAGTAAAGTATAATAATTTCCCAGTTTGACTTCCATGTACACTATGTTTTAAAATTGTTATTCACGCTATCAATATTTTTGAGTTTTACAAGGGAAGGGGAGACGTGTTTATTTATTGTCAGAACAGTTATAAAGTCTGTCAAACATTTGTAAATATAGTATTACCTTACTCAATGTTTAGTTTAAGGCAAAATTAGTTAATATTTGTCTGTAGTGTATTATGCAAACATTGTAAGTAGAATATTTTTATATCATTCAGAATGTGATGGAATATTATATGCAATGTACTATGTACAATATATAAAGTAACATTTATCATTTATACATAACATTAATTTTTGTCAAACTTCATATTTATTCGTTGTTTATTTGTTCATTTTATATATTCTATGTATACCATATATTCATTTACTCATATAATTACCTTGATATTGAAAGTTGAGCTGATTTAAAAAAAAAAAGTCTTTGAAAAGTTGGTTGACCTGACACATTATGGCTAAATCTATTAAGATATATATAGAAAATAGTTGGGGGAGTTAAATTTTGTGGTGTTTAGTGTCTTTATTTCAGTGACTTTATCCTGAGGCATTCATAACATATTAAAAAGCAAGGAGAAGACCTAGAATGTTCGTAATTACTCAAATGTGACCACATATTTCAGACATTCTACTGAGATATACTTATTATATTTTTGCTGATGTTTGCCGAGGAAATTTGAAGTTTTATAAAGTTGAGTTTTATATTTTGTACTTGCATTCTATGAGTAAGCTTTTGTGTGGTTGATTGTAGTAAAATGGCTTAATATACAGTTCTTTTTTTAGCTTTTATATGGTCTATTGTTCTATAAATGGCTGAACATCCTGTTCATTTTTAGCTTTGATGGGGTCTATTGTTCCATAAATGGCTGAACATCCTGTTCATTTTTAGCTTTCAAATGGTGTATTGTGAAACAAATGGCCTAATTTGACCTAAATTTTGTTTGAGCAAATTTTATTTCAACATGAATTTGTTTTTATAAGCTCCTGTTACAGTCTGTGTTGAAGACCCATTGGTAGCCTTGGGCTGTTACCTGCTCTTTGGTCGGGTTGTGGTCTCTTTGACACATTCCCCATTTCCATTCTCAATTTTATGAATAAAGTTGTTCAAATATTTACTATTTGTAAGCTTTTATATTATTCATCAGTTAAATGGTTTGAATTGTTTTAATTGCAAGTTTATTCCAATCAACTTTGCATTATATACTTCCTTACATAATGGAATACTTATAAATAGTATGTAAAAGGATGATGCCCTGGATAAAGCAACTTTGGAAATATAGTGTTGCCATAGATACAAACAATTGTTCAGAAGTTTCATTTTAATTCTGAACAAGCTATATTTTCACCTTTTTCAATGATTTTTTGACCAGAAAAATGATTGTTTATAATTTGTTATTCATATTTGAGACCTACAAGGAATTGTAAAAGCTCATTGTCAATTTCTGTGTTAAGCACTTGTTCACTTCTGATGTGTAAATAAATGTTAACCAGGGGAGATAAATCAGTTCAACAGAAATGTCATGGTTTTTGTTGAGTAACATTACTGTTGTTTTGTTGTTAGTTGTGTGCCAGAATGTGATATTATTAGTAATGAGGTTTATGGATTCAGTTGTCCAAAGCAAGCTTTGTTAATTAACCCTTGAAAAAGAAATTACAGCTCTTCTATAAAAGCATGCAAAGCAAACCTTTGATCAACTTGCTTGCTATGTTTGCTTGGATGTTTGCAAACAATAGGTAGGCGGAGTTTCAGTCTGTTTTGTATATACTAGAATTGACATGCAATGAAGTTATGTTTATTGTCCAATCAAATTCCAGTATATAGTAAGCAGACTGAAACAGACTACCTACCTTTTGTTTACAAACATCCAAACAAACATAGCAAGCAAGTTGATCAAAAGTTTGCTTTGCATGCTTTTATAGAAGAGCTGTAAAAACAAATCTTTTTAAAAGATTTAAAGTTTTATAGAGAATAATTTTTTTAAACTTGAATGTAAAAATTTTTATATTGAGATTTTATGAGTATTTTTAATATTTTTTGGAAAACAGTTAAAAAAAAAACCCAATTTGTTAATATATTATAAAGGGAAACAAACTTAAGGGGAAAAACTCTGTATAAGATACTCAGGACAACAGTTTGTCATCAAATGTCATATTTATATTTTGCATAAATAAAGCAAAATATTTTTACATTACTTGTCTGTGTATTTTTGCCAAATACAAGAAAAAAAGTAGTTGAAATTAGTTGGCAGTTTTGATCTGCTGTCACATCATTGTCCAAGATTGTGATGGAATGAGATGGTTGTATGCTCACAAATATGCCTATCCAAAGATTGCAGACTCATTTCCCATAATTTTGCTTGAAAATTCTGAAAAAAAACTGCCTTGGTGGTCTGGTGGTAGCATCTCCCCTAAATATTTGGTGTCCTTCCTGCATACTGCTTCTTTTGAACTATATGATAATAAGATGTGGTTTGATTGCCAATGAGACAACTACCCACCAAAGTCAAATAAAGTGGAGGTAAACAACTACATGTATAGGGCACTCTACAGCCTTCAACAATGAGCAAAACCCATAATGTAGTCCACTATAGAAGGCCCTGACATGATAAAATGTAAAACAATTCAAATAGAAAAAACTATAAGCCTGATATGTTACAAAACAAAAAACAAAATATGATAGACACCAACCAACGACAACCACTGAATTACAGGCTTCTGACCTCGGACAGGCACACAAAGAAGGTGGCAGAGTTAAACATCTTTGCGAGTGCTCAACCCTCCCACTAACAGTGGTGTAACAACATGACATAAGAACTAAATGTAAAAATCTGCTGGAAATGGATAGACTCATCAGATCTGAACAAAGAACGTTTAAAATGAATTAGTTCATATTCATACTGCACAATCATGTTGTGTAGGATATATATGTAATATTTGCCACTAGATGTTAAAAACCAATCAATTGTCATCATAATAATTAAATGACTAGATATACAATAAATCCCCTGTGGTATAGTAGTTAAAATAAAAATCAACATAGATTCAGTGGAACCAAAAGCAATAGAAAATTCTCAAAAAAGTTATATATACCTCAAGACATTGAACTAAAATCTAGTCACAATGACATAGCTAGATGAGAGGAATTCAACTTTTTATAAAACAAGCATTCTGAGAGTATTGCATGGCAATACATAGTCCCCTACCAGGTAAAAATTCGTTTTACTGTAACAAAATGCTAACTTGTTCTATAACTTGTCATGGTGTAAACAAAAAGTAAATATCATGTCAATATCTTCAAGCATGACTAAAAACAGTGTGGAAAACTGATTATATGAGTGAAAAAAACATTAGATATGTTTAATAGTTCTCTAAAATTAGATATGATGTAATACAGTGTATATCTATTTTCAAATTATAATCAAATATAATTAATAGTTCCAAATATTGTTTCTTTCATTTATCACAAACTAATATAGATTTGTAACTTATCTATAAAATGTCAACAACATTTATCTACACAATGTAATGTATTGAAACATATACATTAATAAAAATAGATTATTATCTAATTAAAGGATTTCTCTTCATAAATTTTTATACGACCGCAAAAATTAAAATTTTTTTGGTCTTATATTGGTATCACGTTGTTGTCGTCGTCGTCAGCGTCGTCCGAAGGCAGATGGTTTCCGGATAATAACTTTAGTATAAGTAAATAGAAATCAATAAAATTTTAACACAAGGTTTATAACCACTAAAGGAAGGTTGGGATTGATTTTGGGGGTTATGGTCCCAACTATTTAAGAATAAGGGGCCAAAAAAGGGGCCCAAATAAGCATTTTTGTAGTTTCCAGACAATAACTTGTGTTTAAGTGTACGAATCTCTCTGAAATTATACCACAAGTTTCCATACTACAAAGGGATGGTTAGGATTGACTTTTGGGGGTTATGGCTCAAACCATTTAGGAATTAGGGGCCAAAAAAGGGGAAAAACAAGGGTTTTTCTGGTTAAAGGACAATTGAGACAATTTAAAAGCAGTGTAAGGGAGGTAATCCAAATCAAAATTCAAATCAATATAAATAACACTGTTTGATTACCTCCCTTACACTGCTTGTAAATTATGTATTAAGAAATGATGATTGTCTGAGATACTGACCATAACTTGAGGGAAAGAATTATTTTTTGGAATAAGGGAAAGGGGGAGGTGAAAAAAATTGGAGGGGGACAATTTTTCTCATTTCATATTTCAGAAATTAAAAGAAAATTTCTTCAAATATTTTTTTTTGGGGGTTAATATTCAACAGCATAGTGTGTTTTTTTTGGAGGGGGGGGGTGTCAATTCGCATAGTGTATTGCACAAAAGCAAAAAATTGAATATAAATTCAAATCATATAATCAATTTGAAGTTCTTTGACTACAGTTATTCTGTGTCAGAAACCTATTATGTGTCGACAATTTAATTACAATCCAAATTCAGACCTGTATCAAGCATGAATATTGTGTCCATTTTGGCCCCAACTTTTCAGGGTTGGACATTTGCGGTCATATACAGCTGCGCTTAGCGAAGCAATTTATTCTTTATATATATATAGCATTCAGAAAATAAGTTTATACTAAATAACAAACAAACCTGCAAAAAAATTCTTCAAATAATTTAACAATGAATGTCTTTAAAAAAATGAGTTATCTCCCTTTGTACAGAAATATGGTTTAACATAGTACTCTAACATTAGATATGGTCCAGAGTTATGGTCCATAACTCTGGACTAAATTATCAGACCGGAACAAAATTCGAACTTGATCTGTAACTTGTCGGACAGACGGACAGAGTGCAAACCTAAAGTCTCCTTGGACTTCGTCGGTAGGGGACTAAAAAAATACAAAACAACAACTGCCCTAACTAGGTTACTCAATAGTCTGCTTTGTTGAGAGTACTTCAGCTTCCTCAACCATAATAACAGACTTCCCAGTGTCCTTACACCCCCTTGGTATTGGGTTGGGGATTGTCCTGGTGGTGGGTTGTTCATAAGTTAGTGACACATCTCCATTAATCCTGGGAGGGAGTGTACATGGGTTCCACTGTATCCTGTTAGCTATCGAGGGGTGCTCTGAATAACAGACGGATCTAAGAACATACATACACACAATGGGGGACAAAGGAAAATTTGTAAAAATAAACCATCTCTGAGGAGTGAATTGGAAAGGAATATGACATTTTAATAGCTAATAAAATGCTCCGCTGGGCGCAGCTTGATACTAAGACAGAGGTCGAACCCTGAACAGTTGGGGCAAGTATGGACACAACATTCAAGCTTGATACAGCTCTAAATTTGGATTGTGATTAAATATTTGACACAGCATAGGTTTCTGACACAGAATGAATGTGGTCTAAGAACTTAAATTTTTTTAATTTACCTATTATGGTCCAATATCCAAACTCTAATACATACACAGTTAGATTCAGCATATCAAAGAACCCCAAGAATTCAATTTTTGTTAAAATCAAACTAAGTTTAATTTTGGACCCTTTGGACCTTAATGTAGACCAATTTGAAAACGGGACAAATAAACAGCTGTGCCATGAGCGCATGATACGCCCGTCATCTTGTGTGTGAATTTTTATGCAATAAGCATAAAAAGTTTCTGACATACGGAGTGACATGCGAAAACCCCCCCTTTTTTTTACAAAAAACTCAATATCTCAAAAATAAAATTTTGAATCAAAACCAAAAAGTATACAGATCTTTATATTAATATAACTAAGAAGTGCGTAAAATTTTAAGCAATAATCATAAACTGTTTTTGAGATACGGCGCGACATGTGAAAAACCCCTCCCCCTTTTTTAACAAAATACTCAATATCTCTAAAATAAAATTTTGAATCATCACCAAAAAGTATACAGATCTTAAGATTAATATTACTAAGAAGTGTGTAAAGTTTTAAGCAATAATCATAAATTGTTTTTGAGATACGGCGCAACATGTGAAAAAAAACACACACCTGTTTTAGTTACTAAGTCCTGTAACTCAAAAAGTTTTAATCTTATTTTCACCAAAAAGTATACAGATCGTTTGACCATCATAAACAACTATGTTAAGTTTCATGAAATTTGGATAAGTCATTCTCAAGTTACGGTGCGACATGTTTACGCCGGACAGACAGACGGACAGACAGACAGACGGACAGACGACATTTGTATACCAAAATACGTCCTGTCAAAATTTTGGCCCCTAATTCCTAAAATTTTAAGGCAATTACCCCCAAAATCAATCCCAACCTTTCCTTTGTGATATGGAACCTTGCAGTACAATTTCAAAGAGATCAATACACTTGAATACAAGTTATTGTCTGGAAACTAGAAAAATGCTTATTTTTGGCCCCTTTTTGGCCCCTTATTCCTAAACTTTCGGGCAATTACCCCCAAACTCAATTCCAGCTTTCCCTTTGTGATATGGAACCTTGTAGTACAATTTCAGAAAGATCCATACACTTACACACAAGTTATTGTCATGAAACTAGAAAAAAAACTTGTTTTTTGCCCCTTTTTTTGCCCCTAATTCCTAAAATTTTGAGGCAATTACCCCCAAAATCAATCCCAGTATTCCCTTTGTGATATGGAACCTTGTGGTACAATGTCAGAGAGATTCAAACACTAACACACTAGTTATTGTCTGGAAGTTACAAAAATGCTTATTTTTGGCCCCTAATTCCTTAACTGTTGGTACTATAACCCCCAAAATCAATCCCCACTTTCCTTTTGTGGCATTGAACCTTATGGTAAAATTTCATAGAGATCCATTCACTTATACTAAAGTTATTGTGCGAAAACCAATATGTCTTCGGACGACGACGACGACGATGACGACACCAACATCATACCAATATACGAAAAAAAATTTGCGGTCGTATAAAAATGGATCAAAGTCAATTTGGGGCCATTTTAATCACATTTTTAAGGATGTTCGCTCCTCTGTTTCAAAATAACAAGCTTTTTAAAAGACTATTATAAATTGATAGTTAATAAATATCAGAACTTAAAAGGCAGAAAAAAATGACGGGTCCATGTCCTTGTTTATGAGATATTGTAACGGTTTATATAACGGTTTATTTCTTCCTCTGTGATATTTTATCCTGGGGATAATTTGTCACAGTAATTATTTTCCAGACATGGTTTTTCACAGGTAGATTTTATCCAGAGGAGTGAAATTCTATGTCTTATGAGGATAGTATTTACCAGTATATATTTTCCGTTCCATATTTCACAGAACCTTGTGAAATAGAGTCCCACTGTCTACTATGTAAGGTACTCACAATCGATATATACCTGACCATAATTATAAATGTTTCACCAAGGTAGAACATATTTGCATAATTTATCAATCAAAGGGAGGTAATTATGAGCCATTTATATTTTACAGATATCATATTCCAGAATCTATTCCATAGTGAAATTTTTCCTTTATTCTTAATTTTTTATATTAATTTATATAAAAAGATGACTTAAAACATGATTTAAAAAAAACTATATTTCTACCTTTACTTTTTTATTTGTACTGAGATCTGAAAACAACTCACCTTTACCTGTATTTCACTTACCTTATTTTATATATTAAATTGATCATGATATTATTTCACAATTAAGATCTGTGAAATTACTTCTGGTTTTGTTTCATATGTTTTCATGATATTTGTCTTTTAAAAGAATGATGTTTACTTTAAAATTATTTTCAATTATAATCTGTGAAATTATTTCCCTTTATAATACATTTATTTGGTTTTTTATTTACTAATTTAGCTTATATTCAAATACGAATTTAGAATCAGATAGAATTTCACGGCAATGGATAATATATCACAGTGAAATCTTTTCCTCCGGATAAAAAAATAACAACAACTTCTGTAACATTTTTTCCCCCAGATGATATTTCATCCGGATAGAATTTTGCTTTACAATATAATCAATTGAAAATTTGGCAGGAAATGATTCTGTCTAGACTTTTCATACATTTAACATTCGCACCTGTTTACTTTCTAAAACTATGAAAAAATAACAAGGATTTTATAAGATTTTCAAAAATTGCTTTATAAACTATATGTACCAGTAATAAAATTATGCAAAGAAACTGAGGGTTAGCAGACAAAATTTTTATTGGTACTACATTGGATAAAACTAGAGGATTCCGAATATCTGACAAAAAAGTCTAAAATAGAGTAGCAAACATCCTTAATGAAGTAAACAATTTATATTAATGAAAATCAAAATCTTTTGATGTACATTTGAGCCTAGGTTTGAGTTGTGAGTACCTGAAGTGAGAGAAAATACATCTATAAACTAATGATTTAAAATTCTCCAGTCCTTTGTCGTCTTTAACTAAATTTATACTAAATACATTAAACTAAAAAAAACCTAGGATATTTATGATAGAAGAAAAAGAATCTACTTCAACCAGTCTGGCAATAGATCACAAATATCGCTGTTTTTTTATGATAGCATAAAGGCAAGCCAATTGCTTAAATATTGCTCAGAAAAAAACCCATGTTAAACTTAAGTAAAGTTTGTGAAGTATGAAATGTAGGTTAATATGTCCTTCTTGAGGTGGAAGGCTGCAGCTATACTATAAATGCAAATTATGATTGCACTTTATTCCATGTTTGAGAACTGAATCTTAATCTTAAACATAATCATAACCCGTCTTCCTTGAAGGAAAAACCAAAAATCCATAAACAAAAAAAATCACATCTAAGATGAATTTTGCACTTCAATTCTGACACTGTATAAATTTCTATGGAATTACAAAATTGATCTTGGCCACCAGACAGTGTGGATGCATGGGTAAAATATTCCATCATTAATGTAGAAAATAAAAACACATCACCATACACTGTAAACAAACAACACATTTTCTATAAATTTCAGCTTTATTATGCACCTCATGATTCTATGGCAACATGCAAATAACTATCACAGATGATTACATAAATTAGGGTGAAGATATCATATGGGGTCATACAAATTAATTGAAGAAATACATGTACATGTACTACAATTCCATACATTATGAAATATAGCAAACTTCATTATTTTCTATGCCTTCAATATTTTTACTATGATTCTATATATATATAATTAAAATAAAGAAAAACAAAAAAACAAAAAAACAAACAAATTGCTAAACACTAAACAAATGTTGTTCAAAGGCTGAATAAGGTCTAGGCAGTGATTAAAGTTAGTGCCAGTAGCTATCCAAAGGATAGCCCTTGTCCATGGTTCTAAAAATTAGCAAAATTAATTTGCAAACACCACAAAAAAATACCTTTGAAAAATGCTACAAAATGTTTTCAAAATAGCAAATAACAAAGTAAAACAACTAAAACCAGTCCCTCTTTATAAATAACAAAATTCAATGAAGCAGTAATACAAGCTGACATTCATACACATGTCTTTTCTCAAATGACATGAAAATGTCAAATTTTATAGCTTATATGCTAAGTTTTTAAAATATTTTCAATAACAATCAATAGTAACTAAAAAAATATGTAGGATCGGTAAGGCTGAATACTGACTCACAAAAAAGTATTTGATTCACTTTAAACATGATAATCATCTTGTATCATAACTGCTTCTATGTTATACCTCCTTTTAGTGAATACTGAGACTTGGGGACCTTACTCTTTTGTGGCATAGGACATTCAAAATTGAAGCAGGTTCTATTTTTGCCACAACTATCATCCTGAAATATTGGTTCCATCTTATTTTTCCAGAAAATTTTTACATGTCTTTTCTGGAAGAAAAATCTAGTCTTATAACAAAAAAAAAGCCAAAAAGAAATATTGATTTAGGCCATTGTGATTGACAGCTAATCCCCTCACCTGTTATCTTTTTTTTTTTAATTTGATTTGATTTAAATCTAAATTTAAAGGCAAAGCTTAACCAAAACCATATGTAAATAAAAAGTTATTTCATTGTGGAGATTTGTCACTTTACATGATGCATCAAATGATAAGCAAAGCTTTCCCAAAACCATGGATTTCTAAATAAGAGACAGATTGATTGATTGGTGTTTAACAACACTTTCAGCACTATTGGCTATTTTGTTGTGGTCAGTTTTTATTGATGGATGAAGCTGGGGTGCACAGAAATAACCACCAACCTTCCACAGGAAAACTCACAATCCTTGTCAATAAAGATTGGAATTGAGCACACCCGCCTAGCATGGAGTTTTGAACTCACAACCTCAATATTAACAGGCTAGTATTACAGAAGTTGAACTACTTAAACTACTCAGCAACCAAGGCCCCTTCAAATAAGAGACAGAAGACCCAGTAATAAATATTACATAAAAATTCAGACAAATATGATATCTAGTCCTAGAAAATCTTGTCTTCAATAGTTAATGGATTTATTACACATTTTTTTATTGTGTATCTGCTTCAACATTTATCACACTTAGTCACTAGTTGTGCGTCTAAAATATAATGTATACAATTAGTTCAAACTTTCAATACAATACAAACATGAATTAATAGCACCATATGTGATAATATACATTTTTTTCAAACTATTTCAAAATATAATCAAACAATTAATACACAATTGTTTTTGAAGACATAAAAATTCAATTTTTTTTTTGTTACTTTTATCCCTTTGAACATAAAAAGTATAAAATAATACAAAAGTTGTGACCACAAAACAATATAAAAGAGAATGTACTTCTGGGGTGTACTATATAAAATGTTCTCAGAATATGATTTTTGAGTATGGGTTGTACTGTACATTATTATTCAGCATGTGCCAATTTCAATGAATATTTTTGTTTGATTTTACTATAATAAAATTATGACAACATTTAAAGGCATACAAAACAGAGCAGATCCTCTGTTGATTTTTCATTTTATTTTAGGTAAATATCAATATACACTTTTGTATACCTTAACATACTTTTCCAGTTATTCCAGTTTGATTTTAGCATGTTTGAAGTAAAAACAAAAAATGTTATATAAGAATACATTTTGAGAAGAAAAAAAATCATTTGAAATGAGGTAATTAATTCTGTTTGTTAATTAAGTGTTCCTTTGTATTTAGGATTACAAGTCTATGTGCTAAAAACAAGTTTTTCAAAAAAATCCTTGAGATCTCATTTCACTTTCTGTTAAATTATGATGCATTATTAAATGGCTCTGCTACTATATCATTGAATAAATTAGGGACATTTGAAAAAGCCCCTATCATAACTTCTCTTTTATCATGTAAATGAACAACTTTCTAAGATAAAGGCACATATCTTCAATTACTTGTTTACAAAACTATTATTTCCCAATATATAGGCGACTAGATATACACTATTACACAATACCTGTTAATTCACACAATGGTTAACTATTGTTTACGGTTTCCATTCATAACTGAAATTCTACAATGGCTTGTATTGGTATTTTTTTCAGCGAAATTAAGTTAGTTATTCATAAAATATTAGAACAATGGCTCCAAATAATTATATAAATTTATAAAAAGTTGAGCTATCTTGACACTTGTGTACCCTATTTCTCTAAAGATTTCTATTACAAATTATTTAAGTCAAAGTGGCGTAGAGAAAAATAATTTCTAACTTTAAGCATTCCTCTGTCATATCTTTTAAGTAAGCTTACATTTAGCGTCAACAGAACTATGAAAACCAATGAAACAAAAATATTTTCAGATTTTTCTTTTGCATTGAAGAATTGAAAATAAAAAGGTCAATCACCATATAATTCTAACTTCCAGAAAAAATATTCCTCTTAACCTTTTTAAGGTTCAATGTTAATTATTATACAACAATTATTATGTATGGATTTATTGTATCACAGACAGTTTGGTCAAACTAAATTTTCACTATATCACTGGTCCCATAGTGAACATATTTCTGGTCTTTTGATTTAATAATGGCAACTAGTTTTGTTCCCTCAAACATAGCGGTAATTTTAAGGCTACAAAGAAACTACTATCAGCTGAGAATTTGTATAAAAGCTGCAGGAAAAACCCCAGTCTGTCCATTTAATTCTCCCCACTGCCAGTCTTCAGCTCCATCTACTCTGGTCCCTAGTCTAATCTGATCTCCAGTCTACAATTCAATATATGTTACACAATAATTTATTATGCTATTTTTACATGTAAATGTCTCCTAAGTAGCTAGATGACCTAGTCAAGTAATTCTATGACACATCTATAGGAAGCAATCAACTTCCAACAAAAGAACATCACCCTTATTTCATTTTTGGCATTTTTGTCTGTTATAAGCTTACCGGTATATGCCATCAAATACAGTCATTGTGACCTAAATTTCAGTCCTTTTCACATTGAAATTTTTCTAATTTCAATAAAAATCATTCAAGTAATTACATTAAAAAGCTACTTGGGAATGTGGCCAATTTTAATTTGTAATAGTAATGTTGAAAACTTTTTCTTATTCCATTTAAAGCATTTCTCGTTTTAAAATGTTATTACTCCATAAAAAAAAAGCTACTTCTTTTAATTGAAATACTTAATTTAATACTAAAATTCGTAAATTCTTGTGTAGAAATCCCAATAGGGAACATATTTTACATTATTGTAGTAATTAAACAATTTTTTACACCTTTCTTCCACTAACTTTCTTCAGTTTCTCTATTATCCTTATACTCTACATGGTAGACAAGTCACTTATCTAAATGATTGTGAAAAGTTAATTTTGTCTACCATGTAGATTAGAAGAATAATAAAGAAACAAAAGAAGTCCAGTGGTCGAAAAAGTCTTAAAAAATGGTTTAATTGCTACAATAAAGTAAAAATAATAAAGACAAAACCAAACCTTAAAAGATAGTTCCTTGTCATTTTCTCCATCAAAATCATATATTGCTTCTCCGATCTTTTCTTCTTCAACTCTCTCATCTTCATCATGTTTCAATGGTGAACCTACATGTACAAAATATCAATAAATACAATCATTTCAATGTGTACTGCAGAATTTACACCCTTAAATAAATAAATTCATAAAAGACATTTATCTAAATAGAATATTTGTATTTATTATATGCTTAGCGGTACATCCAACTAGATGTTATGTGTTATGGAATCAATGGCAATCGTTCTATATCAGCCATCTTTAATATCGATATCAGTCACTGTTGCAAAGGCTTTATCAAACCCCTAATCTGTATTACAACATGTCACATTATTTTAGGTATATAATAAAGTGTATACGATATGGATTTTTCAATATCACACTGCATCAACCCTCAACCAATATAATCCTTTGAGCAGAGCTCTTAAAATTATATTGGTGATTCAAGTTAAGACCCTATAATATTATTTATATATAATTTATGATTAGCATTGTGAATGTTGATAATAGATTTATCAGTACACCCATAACCTGAACATCTTTCCTTTGAATTGATTGAAAGATATCCTAGGTATTACTGTCCTACTCTAATACACAAAAATATCAGACAATTTCAAAAATTATTTGACTGCAGATTGATTATGATGTTACAGATAATCAGAATAACTGCTTTCCTAAAGGTCTTAACATAAATCATCTCAAGTACACATATCTCTAATTGTCCTGTTGTAATATCTATAATAATTTCCGTCTCAACTTCTTGACCAATCATTATCTTACATATATTAATCACCAGTAATAACCTAACAACAACCTGTTCAAAGCCAGGCGTTTGAAATCTGTATTGGTTGCTATCTATCTTTATTGCTGTAGTATAAACCAGGTTGTTAGTTTTCTATCCTGAATTGTTTAAAAATTTGTCATGCCATGGTTTTCATAGCTTACAATATGGTATGAATTCTGCTCATTGTTGAAGGTCATTATGTGACCTGTAATAGTTCAAATCTTTGTCTTTCAGTCTTAATAACAAGTTGTCTCATTGGCAATCATACCACATCTCCTTACTTCAATACAAACTACATTTCATCTCAACTTAGTATTTCTAATACTGGTTGATCTCTAGAAAATACTTAATTGCATTTTTGTAAGTGAAGGGGACTATTTGTTATCAGATCATCATTTATCCTTACCTGTAATTTCTGGACTAGGATTATCTATTCTTATAACAAAGCTTGCAGGAAATATGCCTTCTCTATTTTTCAGTCTTCCTTTCATCCAATTCTCATCTATTTCTGTTATAACCTCTATAATCTCTCCTTCATTAAAACTCAAATCTTCTGGACTTTCACCAGGAAAATCTGCAATGGCTTGACACATCAAACATTTCTCTTCTAACTGCAACTGTAAAAAAGTATTTTTTATAAACTATACACATGTTTCCAAACTTTATGTAAATCCTTCTTAATAATGAAATGATTCATTGCAGGGTTAAGGGTCATCATCTTAAGTAATGTGCTTTTAATGCATTTATGTTAACCCGCATTACTAAGATGGTTATAATAAGTCTATAAGATGGTGATAAATCATACCAAAGATATTTTAATAGTTATGTCCATTAATCTAGGTTTACCGTCTAATAAAGATTTATCAAATAATTTTGGTCACAGAAAATCATTCCTTTATTTTTGCATTCAACATGAATCAGTCTATTTTCTTCTTTCTATCTTTACTTATTCCTAATAAATCATGTATTCAGTAAACTTAAATTGTTATTGCCTACAATTTTTTCTACATAGATTCTTCCAAGCTTAATCTGTTTATAAATCTTGAAACATTATCAATCTGTACCTTATTCAAATTGTCTTCATGTTGTCTTATATCAGTGCCTTCAGTTTCCTTCACATACATTAGTTCTTCAGACTGTACCATTTCATTCATCCCGTCACTGGCAAGATCTGGCAAATCTTCAATCACTTCCACAAATGTCAAAGGAAATATGCCAACTTTTCCACCAAGATCTCCTCTGACCCATTCACTATCTACCCTCTCTATCAGTTGTATGTAATCTCCTTCCTCGAAACAAAGATCTTCTGCTCCTTCTCCATCAAAGTCAAACCTTGCCACACACCGTGGACCAGTTTTGATCATGTCTGATTTCTCTTTAACAGATGTAGCTGGAGAGGAATCACTGTCTGATGTTTTATTTGTTAAAGGCGATGGTAGTGGGGTTACCTACAATAAAAACAACATAAAGAACATTGGAGTGAAGAGATATAGCCACAAAATGTCATTGAAAAAACTACTGAATTAAAAAAAAAGAAATGAAAGGAGATGTGGGGTATTCTTCAATGAGACATTTTCCCAACAACACTTTAAAGGTCTGCTATCAACACCAAATTCCTAGAATTTGTTAGTTTTTATAAAATGTACTGTCACAACAGAATGGTAAATAATACATTCATTTTCTGGACAGCTACATGAAGCAGAATATTCCAAAGGGCAATAAAAAATCATTAATAAAAGAAAAATCAACAATACTAAGACAACAAGTTAAAACAACAAAAGTCTACAAAACACTACATTATGAGTGAGCAACAAGAACCCCACCAAAAACGGATTGTGATCTCAGGTGCTCTAGAGGGTACAGCATAGCTAACTACACATGTTGCTTGCTTTAATGAAACATTTGCTAACACTTTAAGCCAGATTTATAACGTGTTTACTCATAAAGAAACCTTTCTTTGGCTGACTTGTCACCCTATCCTGATACATATCAATCTGTTCCTTAGCAGACCAGTTTTTTGCTCTCCCTTATAAATGCTGTATACTTAGCAGAGAGGTAGCAAAAGCTTTATAGTTGTAGGTTTATGATAGGTAAGGATAAAACACACAACATCCCAAGGTCTTTCAGATGGATGGACAGACCAAATAACAGATGGAATTGAATGGTTATCAAACCTGCTTTTGTCATTGGCAATGCAAGTAATAAACACCCTAAAGATCAATATGGTGAAGAAAATGGCCAGGAGCAGATTTGTTTGTAAAATGTCTACTTATTCTGATAAGCTAAAAACATTTTGTTTTCTTTAACTGCATCAATCAACAATCATAATTATAAGTTGAACATACCTCTCCATCAAAAGGTCTTAGTATATGTATAAAACTTTGTGGAAACATTCCTCTAGCTTCACCAACCTGACCATACAACCATGATTCATCTATTCTTTTGTGTAATATAACTATATCATCGGCCTACAAAGCAATAAGACCAAATATTATTTCATAAAATAATTTCCCTTTCTTTTCTTATCATCATACAGATGAGATAACTGAAATAAGAGGTAAAATATAAATGTTTCATCATCATAGGAAATAAATGTAGTTTTCCAAATGTAATCAAGTCATAAAATTTTGAAGAACATGATTTAAGTGCAGTAGAGGTAATAAAATATTATACAGAAAATTACTAATAAAATCAGATGTAAGGACACTCATCTTTTTCAGAATTTTGAAAATATATACTATCTCTCAGTCTCAATACATTATTTCTAATGAAATAAATGTATAAGTTAAGATAACAGTTACATACATTTTAAAATCAAAATTGTTGCAAATCTTTGTTAAGATTATTGCGAACCAAATAAAACATTTCCAAATGAAATAAATTCAACATCACATACTGTTTTGAGAGTTGATGTATGTATTTTCATCCACTTAGAAAATAACTTTTTTACTCAGGTAAATTAATCAGAGTGATGGATTTCTCTTAGAAGAAAATTCAAAGGTCCCAGTGAATAAACTACACAGAGAACAATAGCTATTGTATTTATTCAATGGGACAATAGAAATGACAAAAGTTTAAATACCTTGACCAAGAGGAGATGATTCTGTAGAAATGATTCATTTGGTTTGAAATAATTCTGTGAAATTTCTCCAAATGACTGTTTTCAGACCGGATTCATAAGAATGACTGTACTCTACCTCTGGGTTTTCAGTCATGGTCTTATCAAAGTCAATACATTACATTGTTTTTACCTTAAATGACAAGTCATCTGGGTTAGCTCCATCATAATCATGTATAGCCTGACCATGTGGTACACATAACATATAGTGGTATAGAGGATGACCTGGTCTTGGTCTACTTGGTAGATCTGGTCCTGGCTCTAAAAAATGCATCCAATTATTTAATTGTGTAAGTAAAATGCAGACATAATGCAATTACACTGTACTTTCAAGTTTTATTCATGATGAGACGAGCATTACAAAGAGAGATAATTGTATCATTCTGCTTGGTATATAGGTTGGTCTTGAGTCTGGAAACCAATACAAATGAATAGCCAAACTTAAGATTTTTTTGTTAATATTAAACATTTGGTTAAAATTTGAAATACAATGCATGTCCTTTAGTATTCATTTTATATCTGGTAACAAATAATACATATATATATAAACAAATGAAAATACTACTTTCTATATTTGGTGTGTCTTAATTCTGAAACTCTTTTCTTGATTTACCCTGACTGTGACACTCAAACATTTGAAGCAAAGGATTTAAAAGACTTGAATATGTGAGAAGCTATATGAATAAAACAGATTTAAAAAGAATAGCCAAATCCATCTATGGTCAAGAAAGAAATTAACATTTTTTTATGCAAATTAAGCACAGAAAACCTATAAAATATTAAGATGAGTTTCCAAGCATCATAGCAATATTACCCTCTTTTGGAGTTGGAATTCTCTTGTCTGCCTCTGCTGTTGAGCTTCTGAAAAAAAGTAAGATAATTCAAATCAAAATTCTAAACAAAATAGCAATGTATCTTATCGTATATAATTCTTTCTTACTAAAATATTATTTTTGTGAGTTTAAACAATTTTTTTTATGTCAGTAAAGTTGACAGCCACAAAATTTTCAAAATGAATTTTTTAAAAGAGCACCTAGTACTAGTAGGTATACTTGTGACTTCGCTGACTTACGTCTTATTATTCATGAAAATCTTCTACAAGAAGCAGCTTCTAACTTCATATCAAGACTGAAAGTTTTCTTACCCACTGTCAGTTTCAGGGGACTTTACTGGTGCATGTGATGGCCTAAGTGGACCAGTTTTTGGTCTTGTTGGTTTGTCTTTTGATTCCTCAAGGTTTTCTGCAACACAAAGAACATTTTGTTAATTAGAAGACAACAATAATGATTTTTTTAAGAAATTAAATCTTTTTCTCATAGAATCAACAAACAAACAAAAAACCACTGACCACCTGTCTGTAAGAAAACTGTTTGTAAGATGAGTGTGGCTACTGTAAGATTCCCATATAAAATCTTACAAACCTATGGTATTACAAGTAAGTATAAATCTTTTTTGCAATGGAAAAAAAAACGCAAGATAGTATTGGTTGATATGTTTAGACATATATTCCTGCAATCAAAAGATAAAATATATGGAAATTTCCATAAAGAAAATGTTTAGAAAATAAAAATAAAGGTAAACTATCCATGTGTTAAAAGAAGAGAAATGGAATATACAAAATTAATTCTCAGGCAATCCTAGTATACATGAAAATTATCTTTTGCTAAAATGTTTTCTATTTTGTATTTTTTACTTTTAATGCTTGTGTTATAATCGGTGTCCAATTCATCATTTCCCCCTCCATTTTATTTGCCCATATAAAACAAAATTAGGTTCATCTTTAACAATGAATTTACCTTCATCTGGATGAACATTGCGTGATTGTAACATGGATTTCGGTCTTGCGGCAGGTGAAGGTCTTGGCGGAGGAACTGAAAAAATAATAACTTTCGCAGGCGACACAAAAACAATATGATCAAACATTAATTCAAAACAGCATGACAAGTCCTTACATATGGTGAAATATTATTTAAGCCAAAAAATCTGCCATTAAAAAGATATGGTAAATACATGTAGATTTATTTGAGAAAGTTACCAATTGAGACTTTTGTTGTCGATGTTTACTGGCAATACTCGGAGGTTTTAATGGTTTGTCTGTTTGTATACACAATTTCAAGACTGAATAAACCAATATCTTCCTCTTGCATTGTTTGATTTATTTATTTTATCTCTTTTTTCGTAATCTCATACAAACAATTCAACAAATACTTACCTTTCTCTTGCCTGGTTGATCCAGTATCAGCATCTGGAGACTCCTGTTGTTGATTATTGCTGGCATTACTTTGTGGTTTGGCTGGTTGTTTTACTGCTGGTGGAGGAGGCTTTGAAGGACCTGTCAAGTTTGGAGGAGATGGTTTATTAGGAGGTGGCTTGGATGTGATCATTGGGTCCATTTTTGAAGATGATGTAATCACCATTGTCATAGGTCTAGCTCTGGCCATTGGTTTAGGTCTATGTTGAACTTTTTCTGTATCTGTATTCCTTTGGATTTCTAAATCATCTTTAGATTTTGGAGTCAGTGGTGTAAATCTTTTAGATGGGACAGGAGGTGGCGGTTTTTCTGATGGAACAGATGAACTTATTTGAGGTTTTATTTCTGATTTGTCTTTTGCTGGCTTTAATATAACAGCATATTCAGGGATTTCTTTTTCTAAATTTTTATTGGAGGATTCCTGGACCTTTTTCAGTACAGTTTCTTCAGGAGGCTGTTTAGGTACATTTGCTCTAATTATTGTTGGTTTTCTTGTTTTCTTTATTTCAGTGTTATCTGTAACTAATGATTCTTTAAAATCATTTAGTTCAGTCTGGTCTTTACTTGCAGTCTGGTTATCATCGACTGTGTGAACATTAGCTTGTGGTTTAAGTTTAGGTTTAGGTAAAACTGATGGTTTGGGTTTCGTAGCTATTGGTGGTTTCTTTTTCTCTTCATCTTCTGCAACATGATGTGTTTCAGTTTCAATATGGTTTTTGCTTATTACATTAACATGATCAATATGTTTACCTTCTTTTTGTTCTTCTTTTTCAGGCTGTCTTTCAAAACTTCTAATTGGAAGAGAAGGAAAACTATCATTTTGATGGGAAGACATAACAGATATCACATTTTTACTAGAATCGTTGTCTTGTGATTTCTCAATACTTTTGTTCATTTTTGCTGGACGAATTATAGTTGGTCTCCTTGGTTTGTCAGACACTGAAGACTGGGAGACATTTTCGGACTCATTTTCACCTGACCAAGTATATGATCGCTGAGGTTTTGCTGGAGATTCTATAACAAGATCGGACTTACCATTATCAGGAGACGGCGTAGGTGGTAATGGACGAGAAGAAACAGACGGAATTTTACGAGGTTTCAGTGGCGGTGATGATTCTGGGGCAGAAACATTTGATCTAGGTTTCGCCAATGGAGATTCAGGGGATGACTTCTGTGGTCGAGGTTTAGGCGAGGGTGATGCAGGTGCCCTGAGAATGGTTGGATTTTTATTGTCTTGCTGTGGAGGAACATCTTTTCTTGTAGGCACTGGTGGTGGTGGTCTGTTGTGTGGAAATGATTCTGTAAATACATGTGTAAAATATGTAATAACATGACTAATGTATCAAAATATCAACATTAGATGTTATTGTAACTATTTGCCAAGTGGGAGATCTCTATTTTATTTAAATACAAGGAGTCTTCTGTCAATTCCTGGAGATTTGACACCTACATCTAATCTCAATTTTAATTATTATATGATTAGTTTTGGGAATTGGCTGGAAAATTATTATCAATTAGTCTAATGAGAGACATTGGTGAAGATTATCCCCACTTCATTACAGATGGCGCTGTGGTAGATCAGGTCCAACAACATCTGTTTGTATGATAATGAAGCCAGCATGCATTCATTAGCACATAATACACAAACATGTGTATGCTGATGATTAAATATTAACAAATTCTTTTTGTTTCATTTTTATCTTATTCATTATATAATATTTTTATGATACAAATACGTGTCAAATTTTGGAAATTGGACACTGCCTAAACTAAGAAAGAATAAAAATCAAAAAGTACACGTGTATCAGGAAGAAAAATAAGAGAGTTGATTGGAGGGAAGGTTTTTAATATATTTATTATTATAAAAATAAATGCTTGTTTGTCTTTCTTCATTAAAAACACAGAATATGGAAAAGTTTTTAGATACATGTATATATTTATGGATCTATATTAAATTTATTTACAAAAATATTCAAACATATCACAAATTTTTTTTTGTGTTATTCTTTCAATAAATTTCATAAATATATCAAATGTTTAACTGAAATAAAAACTATATATAATATGACAAATTAAAAACAAAACCTAGCTTAAATGCAAAATGTGATGATTTTTTCAACAAGATACTTTTTAAAAATCATTATTCTTAGATTAGAATCATATGACAGAAACAAGAATTTTGGAAATGACTTTACACATTTTACATTGAAATCAAGAGGTATATCTGGAACCAATGGGGGAAAATACTTGGCACTACAGCTAAGCAATTGTACAACAATAGATTTGTAAGATACTTGTGACTGGGAACCGAAAAATTACTTTTTTTTGTCAAATCAAAGTGTCATACCGAAATGAATAGAGAAATCACATACAAAGTTGATGTTTGCATATAAATAAAGATCTTGTTTTTGTAGAGTCCCAGTGTGACTGTTGCAGCTAATCGTAAACATTTATTTTTATGTTTGCGCAGTTCTCTTTGACATGACACAGTTTTTTTGTTTCTAGGAGTTTAGGATAGAGGAAACTTGAACACAATGTTTACAAGCATTTAATCAATGTAAACAATTTTTTGGAAAACCTATAGCGATTAAAGCACAGAAACTGCCAATATCAAATAATGGTTTTTTAAACATAAGTTTTGGTCCAATGTTCCATTAATTTGCAAATTTACTGGAAACAACGATTTTTTCAGGAATATTCATTTGAAACAATCCTAGGTGCATTTCTCTTATCAAACCTGTTTCAGCCAGCAAATCCTGATGCTTGTATTTAAGTGCATCATGATTACTTTCACCTGAGGATCTTAAAATTCTTTGGTTAAAAGACAACACACATAACTGCAATTCAGGAATCAACAGCAGGTCAACCAAAAAGAAAACTAAAAAGACCAAAATTAGGACTGGTTGTATCATTTACAATGAGTTCTGTTTTATACACAGCAGCTATCTAGCATTGGAGACAATATGAACCAGTAGCAATAGAGAAGTTCCAGTCAGTCACAAAGCAAGAAACCATTAAATGTGGAGTATTTGTGTCAAAGTCAATTTCTCTTTTGGCTGCTTCTGCAGGTAGATTGACAGAAAACAATCCAGTATTAGAAAGAAATCCTGAAATGAACTTATCACACCTTAATCTGTTTTTTACTTGTCTGAGGTAAATGGGGAGTTAAGTGTTGGGCCAAAAACATAATTCAGATATGCAACAACAGGTAAATGGCATCTAGTATATAAAAACTTCTTATTATAATTTGTAAACAAATATCAACACACTGTAAATCTAAATAGGTTATAGATAAGAGATGCTGTGTGTGTTGGACCTGATCTACTGCACTGCCATCTATGTTATCATTAGAGGGGAATAATTGACCAATTCTTAATAAGAAGGCATGGTCTGATTTGCGTTTCGTTTGTAATCTGTTTTTAATTCATATGCAAATAATAGAGGAATTTAGTAACACAGTTTTCCTTATGTAGTATTTGTTCATGTCATGTATAGCATTTTTGTAGAATTACCCAAACTTACAAATCTATAATTTATACTGATTGCAGTCCACCAAAATAGTGTGAATATGTACAAAATATGCGTGTTTAAAGGCATTCCTTACATTAACAAAGGGGTGTCAAAAGTTTTCTGTAAAATGTTAACATATTAAAGATTTTTAAAAACTTTCATCAATTTAAGATTGAAAATTACAATTGATTGAGAATTTTCAATAATCAATAGATATTTTGGTTAAAATCTATAATTGGAAATCACTATGTGAGGTTATACTAAATATAAGTATTTCACTAGCTGCTATACATTCTTGTGATACTGACCTGGTTTTGATGGTCTTGGAGGAAGAGAATCTCTAACAGGAACAAGTGACGTAGGAGGTACCAATTTCAGAGCTGGTTTAGGTGATTCTTTCTTGGTTTCAAGTTTTGATGAGGGTGTGTTGCTACAAGACGTATCTCTGAAACCTACTTCACTCATTGGTCTTGCTGAGACTATAGTTATCTCTAACTTCCTGGTAAAAGTGCAAAAAATTATATCAGATCATTCAAAAAAGCCTCTTTCAGAATAAAACTAATGACAATACTGGAGTAACATCGCATGATCTAAACCTTTCCATTTTCTAGAGTTCTTAATAAAATCTAAATCTAAATAATACTCTGTTTAATTGAACAGCAGTATACTACTGTTGCCTTTATTCATACCTTTTTGGAGCCCCATCAGCTTTACTACCAACTGAAACAGGTCTAGAAGATTTGTTTCCAGAATGTCTTAATTGCACTTTCTCTGTTTCTTCTTTCTTTTCATGTGAATCTAAAATGAGTTTTTACAATAAAAAATTATTCACTAAATATCATTGAATATACTGTAAATATGAAAAAAGAAGATGTGGTATGATTGCCAATGAGACAACTCTCCACAAGAGACCAAATGACACAGAAATTAACAACTATAGGTCACCGTACGGCCTTCAACAATGAACAAAGCCCATACCGCACAGTCAGCTATAAAAGGCCCTGAAATGACAATGTAAAACAATTCAAACGAGAAAACTAACAGCCTAATTTATGTACAGAAAATGAACGAAAAACAAATATGTAACACATAAACAAACGACAACCACTGAATTACAGACTCCTTACTTGGGACAGTAAATACTTTTATCTTTTAAACAGCTACATGTTCATGAAATCCTTACCTTTGCTTTACTGTCTATAAAGTTCTATTTTTCCTTTTTCTTTATCTATCATTTGTGACAACAACACAAAGTCTTCGACTTAAATCCAAGTGTCTTTTTCTCCGAAAGGATGGGAGTGAGGAAATTTTTCAAAGAACTGGAATTGCTTGAATTATAATCTAAGTGATATAAGTTTATGGATAAGATTAGAATTTATTTTTCAAAATAATTCTATGACAGTTTTTTTAGATGCTTAATGCATTGAAATCAATGTTATTTGTGCTGTCATTAGTAAAATCACCTGGTATTGCCCTTTGTTTTTTAATCTAACCTTTTCTAAATGATGGTGGTCTGTTAGGTGGTTTAGGTGGCGGCCTTCCTTCCCCAGTAGGTGGAACAGGTCTTCTTGGTACCATATCACTGTCATCGTCTACACAAAAAAAACAAAAAGAGGCAAAACCATAAAAATCACATCGAACATGTAGAAGATCAGTTTACATCTCTGTCCATTGAAGTTCTAACTGTGGAAAATTTTCTTTTGGTGAGATTCTAGTGAAATTCTGCAGGAATATTTAACTATTTTTGTATTCATCGAACAAACATACAAATGGTTCTAGTTGTAATATATAACAATACACAATTTTTTCAAGATTTGGAAAACTTTTCTAGCCGTTGGTTATTGTCTGACATAATTGATTTTGTTTATCATTCGTATATCAAACTGTTAGGTTTTTCAGTAAGAAGGCCTTTTATAGCTTACTACATGGAATGGGTTTGGCTTATTGATGAAGGCAATATATATGTGAGCTGTAATCTTAAAGATCCCAAAATCATTGTTTTAATATTTTTTATAATAAGTCATGATTTTCTTAAAATATTTTGTCTAATAATTTTATAATGAATTAAGATTTTCTTAAACATTTTTGTCTTCCTCTTCCATCTGAGAATTCAAGTGATAACACATCGACCCTACTCATTTTACATAGACTTTATAAGTGTTACATAGTGTAAAACAGTTTCATCTTTCCATTACTATCATGACTATGGCTTTAAGTGTTTTATGTATTTGAAACATATATATATTCAAACCTCAAAATGATAAAGAGTAAAATATCTTTAATAGGCAATGGCATCATTTAACTTTTTAATATAGATATATACATTTGTACTTTGAAGTGCAGTTTTGATGGGCATTTTAAAAGAAACATTAATGAATATCTCTGTGTAAATGGTGTAGTACAGTACAAAATTTCATTTTTTATAATAAAAATTTGGAAGATTATTTTGTAATAAATGTTTCAGTTTGTTGCAAAAATTATATTGAGCTATGCTTCTTAACCCATATATATGTCCATAGTGGGCATGCTGCTCTAAGGACATATCTGTCCATTATTTATAAATGACAAGGAAAATTTTCACTCATTGAATTTAATTACAAACTTCAAATTACTTACAAGTACAACTTGAATACAATTTTTAACATGAATGTTCTATCCTTTTGATTCAAACAAATAATAGTATAAAGTCACAATGACAGGTCTGACACCGTGATGCTGTTTGGTAATGTCTTCTTTAATACATTGTACTTTGCTCAAAGTAAAGTTGAATACTGCCAGCAACACTACATTTATTCTAAAACTCAGCCGTTAACATGTTTATTATGTCTGCAAAGATTTAGATTGAACTTCCAAATAATGAATAGGAAACTGGAATTCAATTAAAAATTGTGATAAATATTTCATTTAAAACTATGCTTTTTCAAAAAAAATATTGTGCAGTTACTTCTGCATTGTTCTGGGCTGATTTGAAAAAAACTTTGTACCAATAATCAGATAATAGTAGAAATATTTTTTACAATGCATTTTTAATACATGTACAAAATATATAGCAAAAAAAGAAAGGTGAACAAATACTTTTTGCCATGCGCTGTATGTAAGCTCACTATGCAGATATTAGAGAACCCAAGTAATGCTATTTCAAATAGCTACTTCGTCCTTTTTCACAGGTTACAACCGTCTCTTTTCAACCACCCATATAATTCTGAAATTCATATATTTAGGTTGCCTTGAAACCTCAAAAAGTCTGACTTAACTTTGCAATTTTCACATAAAGTTCTGACAGGAAATGCACAAAGTTAAAAAAGACTTAGAGAGGTGAAAGATACCAAAGGGATAGTCAAGCCTATTAGTCTAAAACAAACTGACAATGCCATGACAAAAAAAAAAAACGAAAAACAACCAAAAGAAAAACAACAGTACACAAAACACATCATTATAGAAAACTAATGACTGAACACATGAACCCCACCAAAAACCTGGGGTGTCCTTGGTGATCTCAGGTGCTCCAGATAGGTTAGCAGATCCTGCTCCACATGTAGCAAATGACATGTGCAAACCTGGTGATAAGTCTAATTTGGTAGGACACATTTGAGGACGGGATAAGCATGATTTGTCCCCTCCTAAGACAAAGATTTATGTATATACGTTAGCCATTCTTTTTTATGAAACAAAGCAGTACCAATTCTTTCAATTTGTCTTTTAGTTTGGAATGGGTAATACTTGTGTAAAGCTTAAAGGGTAGAAAAGACAAAAGTCAAATTTAAGTTATGATTTGATTTGAGAATCTAATAACTTATTACAATGATACCTTTTTCAGAATCGTGCGTGTTCTGGGCACGTATAATCGTAGGTCTTTTAGGGGGTGGTGGCCTGGACACTTCTGCCATCCTGTCATTTGTAAACAAACTGGAAATAAGGAAAACCAAGAAACGTTCCGCATATTTCATATGGGAGGTAACTCAAAATGATGTTTGGTATATTTATTGGTAGTTCTGCATTTTCTGTAAGTAGATTAACCTTTTTATATATAATTATGGTAGAAAGTATTTGTATGTATCCAAACAATCAATTTTACTGAAATTTCTGATTACAAAAACCAAACTCTGTTTTAGCAGACGATTTTCCATCTCAAACAGGAAGTAGAACTAGAGTCCGACCGGAAGTGCATAAATTATACTTCGCATTCTCTGCTTTTGCAGAATGGTAAGGTCGAAAATGAACAAAATTTATCGCACACTGTCATTAAATTTGTGTTTTAAGAACTAACAACATTTTAATACCCTCATTGACATTCAAAATCTCTGAATATATCCTCATGAGCTGTAATATGCTAACGGAACTGTCTTGACCTGTTCTGTTGTCTGTTGACCAGTTACTTTGCATTCCTTAATATATTTATTTTTAGAACATTCATGTACTGTCAACAAAGTCCAGTGGATTTATACGTTTATCTCAGAGGTTCCGAAGGTTTTTTGGACCTCAGTGGTCTCTTGTCTTCTTGGTCCATGCATGTTCAAGCATTACTGGTCCAGTCAGTGTTTTAATAGCAGTCTTTTACACTACGAGTATTACAAAATTCTTACTTTTTACATTTTACTGGACAAAACCATTTATTACTGGACATTGCCACATGTCTGACAGACCTTGGGAATGACTGTTATCTTATAATCGAGACATTATCTTATATCAGAGTTTATTATCAACCTCATCAAGAAATTATACAGCAAATTACAAACCTATGACATGACTATGGATTCTGATATTTATGCAGATATTATCATGGTTTTTTTCTTAAGCACCTTCCGATTGGATTTCATGTCAGAACTTAATAGCTTCAAGTGTCTTTAATTTTATATCAACATTTCTTGGACAAAACATGAATTTGATAAACCTTAACATTAAAATTATTTAAATAATTACATACTTATACTACATGTACTAAAGAATTATATATCCATCACCAACATCAGAGACATATATATGTGTATATATGTCTCTGCCAACATTAAATATTTATTCTAGGGTTGTGGAGTCTGACAACAACCAACCTGGACCTGCCATGGTCTGAATTGTTACTGAATATTTAAACCCATATTATACAAATGAATTTATATAATTAGTAGACATATGTCAAGATGACAGGTTTCAAAAGTTTTAAAAGCAATTTCTAGCTAAAAGATATTTAGCCATATCATTTTACTCTCATGAACATTTTCGTATGCTTGACGGAATTTGAAAATATAATAAAACACCAAACACCTGTAGGTTTAAAATTTGAACATGAAGCTCACTAGAGCTTGTGTTTATGTAGTTTACTGAATATCGGTTTTAAACAAAACTTTGAATTGAATCGAATTGAATAGAAGGAATTCAACTTTTGAATTGGCCAATATAAAATTTGCACTTTAAAGGTGGCCTAAAGTTTAATTGTTACAATGCGACCTGATTTAATAGGATTTAAAGCAATATTAAGTGAAATTTTTGTGGTAAATTTTGGCAACAGTAGTTTACTAATGTTCAAATCTCATAAATTGATTAAGAAGATAAATCAAAGTTACAAACATGAACCGAGGAACTCACACTCCAAAAGGAGAAAGACTATTAGATTGGAAATAATTCATGGGGCTTGAATGAATTTTGATTTTACCACTGGTTGGCCCTTAGACCCTATATTTTACCTCTCTATCTCTTGAAGTAAAATATTTTTGCATAAATGGCCAACCTGTGGTAAAGTCAATATTAACCCAAGCCTTGATGAAGTATTTCTTAAATATAACATAACTGTATTCAAGATATAGACTTTTGTAAAATTAAATTCTCTTAAATTTCACTTGGTTTAAGTTCGTTTGATTATTACAGTCTGTAAAAAATTCATTCATAAAATCTGGGCATAAATATAGATATCAACATGATCAGTCAGGGGAATTACAGAAAAAAGTGATTTATAAAATTACTTATTTAAGTAGCAAATTCGAAATTTTGTCACAAATTGTGATTTTGTAGTTTTACCAAAATTTTAAACATATAGGTTTAGATTATATCTTATTATTAGTAAAATTGAAAAAAACTGAATCTTTTGCTTCTTTTAAGTTGCAAGGTTTATACCTTTGATGCAATCATTTAGCTGTAAATTCTATATTTGTTGAAAAAATGCTATAATGAAGGCTTTACATAATGAACTGATACTTTCTTAACAGATTTTGCCAGCAGTGGGAGTATTTTTCCTGTAAAATTCAAGGTTTCATCTTACAGATTATGTAATAAAATTTTACTGTTCATTTAAAATAATAATACTTTAAGAAGTGATTTTATGGAAGAAAATAGAGGTATGATACTGAAACAAGTGATTTTCATGTCATTATCCCAGATTCAGTACAAGGTCATCACCTGACATGACCGGTCATCCTATCAACACAGATGTTGGTTCTGATAATTTTAGCAACATAATTAGTCCCTGGATCATTGGTATTGTATATTTAAAGCTACAATAAAATTAAATCACTTAGTCTAGTGACTTATTTGTACTACTTAAATAGGTGATTATTAAAGAAAGACAACTCTTACTTCCAACATTTATGGACAAAATGTTACTTGAATCAGTGATTTAGAAATCATTCATTTAATTAAGTCCCCTGACTGATGATTAATTATACAAAAGAATTTTGCATGGTATAACTGCATACTATTTATATTATTCAACAGTGTATCTATGCATGTTGATGTTGATTTTTTTTTAATTTCTCTCCCTCCCTTATAAAAGTTTTTGTTTTTTAGGGAGAAAACATAACCATGAAAATCACTGATTGGAGTTGCCAATCTCTGTGTATATATTTCTCTGATCAAACATTGTAGCGCCGCGAGCAAACAAGCACTTCTCTTTCAATCTCACCACTTCTCCCTATCAGTTTCAAAAAGAGAAGTCACTTCTCCCTATGATTCTGAAGTAGTGTGAGCCCTGAATGATGATAACGGACTTCAAACAAGGACAGTGGACTATGATACAAATTTCACATAGTTGATTTTTCTTACACATATCAACAAATTTTTCTTCTTTCTATATATCTGCATCCTTTGAAGATATAAAATTCTGACATTTCACATCTTTTAAAGACAGCATGTGAAGAGGACAAGTCAATATATTTTGTCCCAGAGGTAGACGATCTTTTGACCATGACAGGAATTTAATGGATTCAATCTTTTCCTCTCTCAATATTTATAAAGCCTTGAAGATGTGTCAAATCCTGTTATGAATTTCTTGAACAAACTTTAAGATGTGCTGACTATAATATGATTGTTATATTTTATTTGTATAATTTAATTTAACTTTAAATTATGGAATTTATAAATTTTTTGGCACCTGTGTCAAAAAGTATTATGAATTAATTTTCATAGTACGGTATTTATAGATTGTAATGCGTGATTACACATCCATATCATGATTTAATCCCTCTTTTGGAGCATATTTTCTGTCCCCAGATTCCATCTGAAATATTTTCCCAAAGGTACAGAAAATGTCTATGAGAAGTGATAAAACAACATAAAATATGCATTTATGGCGATCTGCATTCCTGATTTTAAAAAGCATTCTTTATTTTCCTGAGGACTAATATAGTATGCTTTATATCTTGTATATAGATGTTGTATTTTCTGAAGTTTTCCTCTAGCAGACTGGGGGGGGGGGGGGGGGGGGGGGGTGGTGGTATTTAATTTCTATTCCTTTTGCATGATACAGTTTAAAAAAATAAATGAAACTGGTATGTTGGCCAAATTGGTGAGTTTGGTCTAACAACTAGGAATATGTAACTAATCCATGAATTCCAGTATCGACCAAACAACACATTATTTCATGAAGAGTAAATTATATTATTGTCGTAGTATGCAAGACCTAGAGATTACTATCTGGTGGCTGCGGCGTGGTGAAATATTTGTATAAAGCTTTATATTTCAGAAGGTAGAAGACCATGCAGATACCTTATGTTACGAAGTTTTCATCTGTCATATGTCCATTGTCCTTGACCTCATTTTCATGATTCAGCGACTGCTTGAAAAAAATTATAGTTTTATTGTCGTGAATTTCTCACTTGTAATGAGTAATAGGATAACTTTATTTTGTATATATGTGTTCCTTACAACATCTACATGTACGTGTCCGTCAGACAGGGTTCACCTGTACTCAACCTCATTTCATGTGATCAAGGTGAAAGTTACATGATTAGGTCCATTTCTCAGATACTATTAGCAGTAGGTCAACTATATGTGGTGTATGGAATGATTGTTAGGGGTGCATGTCAGTCTGGCAGGTTTCATCTGACCTTGACCTCATTTTCATGGTTCATTGGTCAATGTTATGTTTTTGTGTTTTGGTCTGTCTTTCAAGTACTATAAGCAATAGGTCAACTATATTTGGTGTATGGAATGATTGTAAAGTGTACATATCTGTCTAGCAGGTATCATCTGACCTTGACCTCATTTTTATGGTTCATTAGTCAATGTTATGATTTTGTGTTTTGGTCTGTCTTTCAAGTACTATAAATTATAAGCAATGGTTCAACTATATTTGGTGTATGGAATGATTGTAAAGTGTATATGTCTGTCTAGCAGGTATCATCTGACATTGACCTCATTTTCATGGTTCATTGGTCAATATTAAGTTTTTGTGTTTTAGTCTGTTTTTCAAGTACTATAAGCAATAGGTCATCCATATTTGATATATGGAATGATTGTAAGGTGTACATGTCTGTCTGACAGGATTTATCTGACCTTGACCTCATTTCAGCGTGTGCACTATTGTTGCTTTTTTTGGTTCACAAGTTGAATATTTTTTTATATTTTGATCCTTAGACTAGTTATTCTTTTTATTACACTCCACTCTAGGAATTGGAACTATTTTGTTATCACCCTGTCTGTTCATTTGAATATTTTCATCACAATTTTCTCAGAAACTGTTCAACAGAATGACTTCATATTTGGTCAGCAGCTTGAAAGTGCTTAGTTGTAATGTGTGAGCTCTTTTCTGTCATATACTTACAAGTTGTTGATAATTTGAATTTTCAATATGTTGAATGAACTAAAAAGTTTCATCACACAATTCTCCAATATCAATTAACAGAATGGCTTTATATTTGGTCAGCAGCTCAACATTGATTAGTTGTAATGTGTGGGTGGAGTTTTCGGATCTGAAAAACATTTACTTCCTGTTTTTTGATACTTTGAATTTTGAGTGGGATATGCTTTGCACGACAATGCATGCAATTTTTGCTTTACTGGAAAACAAAGGTATTTCACTGCAACCAATGTACTAAGTCCTATTACATGTACTACATCCATTGCTTAGAAACCTAAAGTGATATATAACAATGATATTTCACCACTACAATACTTTTGAATTTATAATTGTGTCAAAGCTTTCTCAAATTATTTTCATTGCTATGCAGTTTATCTTTTTTATTAAATTTGACAAGAAAAAATTTTGATGAAAAAAAACCTCTTCAATTCTGCAATGTGACATTATGAGCTCAGTAGTATTAGCAATTGCTCTTTTCTTAACAGATCTATTAAGAGTTTAGGATGCAAAAGTACATCATGTATGACTGAAAATTTACCGTCACAGTTACTTTTCAATTTTTTCATTCTGATTTCAGGGGTAAAGATTGCATGAACAATTTGAAATGAGTTGGTCACCTGATACAAGACTCCGCCCACAGCAGAGATTAGATACAAAATGGATGAAAACAGACCTACAGGTATGAAATGAATAGGTATTTTAAGAAAGAGAATTTCAAGTAAATGTCAATGTGTCAGGATCCTAACAACCTTAGCTTACCTATATGTGGGGAACATACTGCTAGAGTACATACTATGTATCCCAGTTTACTGAAAAAGGTGAATGAAGTGATAAGTGTGCTATTCTTTTTTATATATACATATATACAGACCTCAGATATATGACTTTATATACGACCGCAAAAAAATTTTGCTGTCCTATATTGGTATGACGTTGGCGTCGTCCGGCGTCTTCGTTGTCGTTGTCCGAAGACACATTGGTTTTCACACAATACCTTTAGTTTAAGTGAATGGATCTCTATGAAATTTTACCATAAGGTTCAATACAACAAAAGGAAGGTGGGGATTGATTTTGGGGGTTATGGTACCAACAGTTAAGGAATTAGGGGCCAAAAAGGGGCCAAAAATAAGCATTTTTGTAACTTCCAGACAATAACTTGTGTGTTAGTGTATGGATCTCGCTGACATTGTACCACAAGGTTACATATCACAAAGGAAATGCTGGGATTGATTTTGGGGGGTAATTGCCTCAAAATTTTAGGAATTAGGGGCCAAAAAAGGGGCAAAAAACAAGCATTTTTCTAGTTTCATGACAATAACTTGTGTGTAAGTGTATGGATCTTTCTGAAATTGTACAACAAGATTCCATATAACAAAGGGAAAGCTGGAATTGAGGTTGGGGGTAATTGCCCAAAACGTTTAGAATTTGGGGCCTAAAAGGGGCCAAAAATAAGCATTTTTCTAGTTTCCAGACAATAACTTGTGTTCAAGTGTATGGATCTCTCTGAAATTGTACTGCAAGGTACCATACCACAAAGGGAAGGCTGGGATTGATTTTGGGGGTAATTGCCTCAAAATTTTAGGAATTGGGGGCCAAAAAGGGGCAAAAAACAAGCATTTTTCTAGTTTCAGGACAATAATTTGTGTCTAAGTGTATGGATCTTTATGAAATTGTACTACAAGGTTCCATATCACAAAGGAAAAGCTGGGTTTGAGTTTGGGGGTAATTGCCGTAAACGTTTAGGAATTTGGGGCCAAAAAGGGGCCTAAAAACAAGCATTTTTCTAGTTTCCAGACAATAACTTGTGTTAAAGTGTATGGATCTCTCTGAAATTGTACTGCAAGGTACCATACCACAAAGGGAAGGCTGGGATTGAGTTTGAGGGTGATGAATCATAAGGGGGTTCAAAAAATTTGGGGGAGGGATTTTTTTTTCCTTTTTTTCTTTAAAATTTTATATATAAAAGCAAATAATAATGATATGGTTTGAATAGGTAAATTAAAAAAATTTCAGTTCTTAGACCACATTCATCCTGTTTCAGAAACCTATGCTGTGTCAAATATTTAATCACAATCCAAATTCAGTGCTGTATCAAGCTTGAATGTTGTGTCCATACTTGCCCCAACTGTTCAGGGTTCGACCTCTGCGGTCGTATCAAGCTGCGCCCAGCGGAGCATTTTATTTCTGTTGATACTACTTATTAATCATTTTTCTTCTAAGCATCTAGTGTCTTTTCAAGAATCATTTATACCCAATTCTACTTTCAAATTGATTCCATGCCAACTTTTTTTACCTTGGTGAAGTAGAAAAGTGAGACTTAGGTGTGATTTTTTTTCGGCTGTAGCTTCAGCAATGTAGGAGAAAAAAAGTATAACAAAAGTACCAAACTCTTAGGTAAATTCAAAAAGGGGAATTTAATGCAAACTGACAAAATCAAACTCTATCAATCAACGGAACAAGTGAAAAACAACTTCCATATTTCTGACTTGATACAGGCATTTTCTGAAGAAGATGGGGGGTTAAACATAGGTTTATAGCTAGCTAAATCTCCCACTGGTATGATAGTTGTTTATTGTGTAAACATACATCACAACTGACTAAAAAATTCAAACATACAAATAAATCTTAACAAAGACACCAACAAGAAAGGTGTTGTAGTTAATAGTAAATTTGACAAAGACATAGTTTACATGTTAAAGTTTTTGTTTAGGTCAGTTTAAAGGGAACCACTTATGTGATGATAAGTAAGTGGTATTAAATATGCAGTTGTACTAGCATTGGTACTTTTCATTTCCACAGAGGTTATTTGGCCCTTCCCCTTCAATCATTGACTTTGAATGTCTGTATAGTACGGGTTGGAATATTGCCATTTTAGTTTCATTATTTGCATTATACTATTTTAATTACATAAAGGCAAACACATCTATGTGTCAACAGTCTATCTTGCATATGTTACTCGTAGACATGGCATAAAACATAACTTTTGCATAATAGATTAAATAGCAATCCTTCAAAAAATCTGTTTTACTGACTTTTTATTCTGGATGTTACCCTAAGCACATTTTTATACGACCAAAAAAGGTCGTATATTGGTATGACATTGGTGTCGTTGTCGTCGTCATCCGGCGTTGTCGTCATCGTCAGAAGACACATTGGTTTTCGCACAATACCTTTAGTTTAAGTGAATGGATCTCTATGAAATTTTACCATAAGGTTCAATACAACAAAAGGAAGGTGGGGATTGATTTTAGGGGTTATGGTACCAACAGTTAAGGAATTAGGGGCCAAAAAGGGGCCAAAAATAAGCATTTTTGTAACTTCCAGACAATAACTTGTGTGTTAGTGTATGGATCTCGCTGACATTGTACCACAAGGTAACATATCACAAAGGAAATGCTGGGATTGATTTTGGGGGTAATTGCCTCAAAATTTTAGGAATTAGGGGCCAAAAAGGGGGCCAAAAACAAGCATTTTTCTAGTTTCATGACAATAACTTGTGTTTAAGTGTATGGATCTTTCTAAAATTGTATTACAAGGTTCTATATCACAAAGAGAAAGCTAGAATTGAGTTTGGGGGTAATTGCCCAAAACGTTTAAGAATAAGGGGCCAAAAAACAAGCATTTTTCTAGTTTCCAGACAATAACTTGTGTTCAAGTAGATATTGGAAGATGTGTATGGATCTCTCTGAAATTGTACTGCAAGGTACCATACCACAAAGGGAAGGCTGGGATGGATTTTTGGGGTAAATGCCTCAAAATTTTAGGAATTAGGGGCCAAAAAGGGGCAAAAAACAAGCATGTTTTTCTAGTTTCAGGACAATAACGTGTGTGTAAGTGTATGGATCTTTATGAAATTGTACTACAAGGTTCCATATCACAAAGGGAAAGCTGGGTTTGAGTTTGGGGGAAATTGCTCTAAACGTTTAGGAATTTGGGGCCTAAAAGGGGCCAAAAATAAGCATTTTTCTAGTTTCCAGACAATAACTTGTGTTAAAGTGTATGGATCTCTCTGAAATTGTACTGCAAGGTACCATACTACAAAGGGAAGGCTGGGATTGAGTTTTGGGTGATGAATCATAAGGGGGTTCAAAAAATTGGGGGGGGGGGATTTTTTTTTCTATTTTAAGACTTTTATGATATATTTGTGGGGTGAAAAAAAATTTAGGGGGGAAGGGGGTAAAAAAGAAGTTGTGGGGGCAATTTTTTTTTTCATATTTCAGAAATTAAAAAGAAAATTTCTTCAAATATCATTTCTTTTTGCAAAAAAAAAAGGGGGGGGGGGGTAATTTTTTTTTGGGGGGGGGGGGTCTAATTCTAAGTTCTTTGACTACAGTTATTCGGTGTCAGAAACCTATTATGTGTCAAATATTTAATTACAATCCAAATTCAGACCATTTTTGCCCCAACTGTTCAGGGTTGGACATCTGTGGTCGTATCCAGCTGTGCTCAGCGAAGCATTTTATTCAGGATTAAAATATTTACAATTTGAATAAAAGGAGATATTAGGAATGTACCAATTAAACAGTTTAGTATCAAATGACAAAAAAAGAAAAAAACAATTATGAGTATTTGAACCATACCCATATTATCATGACCATAAGAATATATTTGCATTTGGTCCGACCACACATGTATAGTGCTGATAATTAACATGATTAATGTTGAAATGTTAATCTTTAATACTGTAAATTTCATAAGGTATAGCCCTTCAATTTGTGTTACATGGTCATTCTTGATTTGTCCTTAAGAATGATATAATGTTAACTTGGGAAGATAACTTCAAGCAATATCTAAATGAACTGTAAGCAGTTAGTTAACTGTTTTATTAATGGAAGTGCACTCACTGAATCTTTGACGTTGAAAGATGTCTAGTCAGTGAATTCACATGACCAAGTAAGAGAACTAGTTGAGAAAAATTACAAACAATCCATTCAAAACAAGCAAACAAATACAATAAGAAGATATGCAAAAATTGTTAAAGAAAAATTGTAACTTTGCGAACATAAGTAGTTGACTCATATCTTTTCTGGAACATATGCATGTAAATAAACTGAAATATTTAGTTTCATAGGGATATAATCTTAATCCTACATGTTAAAGGGGATATAATCAAAACTTACCTCTTTCACTATGCAATATTTTGTTAAAGTCTTTTGTTAGCGCAACTATTCTGAAGGGCTAGATGGATATTAATACAGTTATAAAACATAATCTGATAGTGTCCGTAAAGTAATATTATCCTGGTCCAAAATATTAAATCATAACAATATAGGCTTTTTGCACTGATGTATTGGAAAACAAACACCAATCAATCAATCAACATGTTAAAGGGGAGATAATTGAATTTGTTGGACAAGGAGTAAGTATCCTTTTGTGAGTTGACTCACAGTTGTAGTCACTTGATTAGACAAGTCAGTCTCCATCACTTAGTTTGATAAGATCAATTCATAGTTCTTGGTACATTTAGTGCTTCACTTTCTTGGGTATAAGCTGGGATTCAAATTTTCAATTAAGAAATAATGATATTTCCACATGCATTGTAATAATTATTTAAAAAGAAAAAAAATGTTTCTGACATGGTACATTGTTGTGTTTAAATTCTGTATTCTACAGCAATGTATGTTTAGCTCGTTTGTGATGTAAAACAAAGACATAATATAAGTAGGCTTGATGTCATAACAGAGATAAATTGTTTCACAGAGCTACGGAAAACAATAGTTGTTATTGTATATAATAGAAACATAACTATTATTGGAACTAATTCAACAGGTTAACAGGTTTGATGAAACAGTTTGACCTAGTTGTAGCTAATTATAGTACATTTAGATGATCTAGTACAGTTGAGGTAACAAACTGGCTAAACTACAAAGTTTATACAGCTTGCAAAATTATAGAAAACATGTATATTTGTAGGTCCTTGCAACTTTTTTTTAACCAAAATATATGTTGTAAATATACTGACAAATCTAAACTTGACATTGATAACAAACCAACAATTATTTTAATTGGTACATCCAATACCAAACGTATCAATGCAGAGAAGCTATCGCCATCATTTACAACCAATAAGGTTACTGCTTTCAATTTAGAAGAAACTAAACAAGCTATTTTGGAGATATCGGATATAATTCCAAATCTAGTAGTGTTTCATTCCCTGACGAATGATTTGAAAATAAAATCACCACAGCAATGTGTAGAAGAAATACAAGATATTGTCAAGCTTGCACTTCAAAAATGGCAAAATAGTGGTTGCATCATCTCTCTTACTACTCCTCGACTCGACAGTGTAATTTTCAACACAAATGGACAAATCATAAATGCCTTGTTGAAACAAATATATGATGACAATAAAGATGTTCTACTTGTTGATCATGGCAATATGTTGCGAAATGGAAACCCAATTGCAGAGCTACTAAGTGAAGATAAATTTCATCTCTCTGACTCTGGCGTGTCTCAGCTATCGGCAAACTTAAAGCGTGGAATACACACTGCCTTAAACATTCCCATGCCAATTTCAAGAGGTAGATCCAAATCGCGCAACACAAGAGGACGTGGACGTGGACGTGGCAGAGGTCATCATGAATAACTTGCTTTTTAATATTATACATATTACCATATCATTATGTTGACTTCCTTTAACATGTTTAAAGTCATTTACATATAATTTATATATACATGTACAACTTTATATATTTCTTCTTTTTTTTGGGCTGATAAATTCATATTCACATTTGAATAGATTTTTCAAATGAAACAGCCATTATGTGAAGAAGTCACACTATTACATGGTCATATATATGTAACCTCTGCTAGGTATAAAAGTTCGCCTTTTTTATTTTATTTTATTCATTTTTATTTTTAGTTTTCACATTTGAATCATACTTTTGATCTTGAATTAACCCAGGATATCAGGTTATTCAACCCAAATCAGTTTAATAGTTATTCAGTTAAAAGAGGATACATAGAAAAGAAATTATCTGTCATTATATCATAGACTATTTGTATTTAGAAAACCATTGTAAAAACTATCCTCTAAATAAATCTACTTATTTCAAATATTTACATTTCTGAATATTTTCCTTGTTGTCTCTTCCTTTTATTTAGAGACAAATTTTTATTATTTTTTTTTTTATAGATAGAAAATCTATTCTATTATTTATACCAGATTTAATTGTATCAACCAAAATGCCAAAATCAAACCAATCATCTGTAAAATTTGGTTATTGGAATATAGGTGGCTTATTTTCAAAGGGCATGAATAAAGCAGAGGATCCCCTTTTTCTGAAACATATAGAGAATTACGACATTGTTTTTTTAGTCGAAACTCATGTGGGATATAATTCCCAAATACACAATATTGGTAAATTTCATTATCATCCAATATGTAGAAAATTATCAAATAATAACCGTCATTTTGGGGGTATAGCAATTCTACAGAAAAGTCACGTTAAACCTCATGTCAAAATATTGATTAACAGTAATCCAGATTATCAATGGATTAAATTAGAAAAATCCTTTTTTGGATTTAAAAGTGACCTATTTATTTGTGTACTGTACAACCCCCCTGTTACGTCTAAATATACCCAAGAACTCTCTTCTGATGTTTTTGAATGCATAGAAAAAGATATCTTTCAGTATAAAAAAATGGGTGAAATTTTGTTATGTGGAGATTTTAATGCCAGAATAGGCTCTGAAAATGACTTTATAGTAAACGATGATTCAAAATTTACTCCAATTTTTATACGGCCGCAAAAAAAATTTTGTGGTCGTATATTGGTATGACGTTGGCGTCGTCGTTGTCGTTGTCGTCGTCGTCCGGCGGCGTCGTCGTCGTCGTCCAGCGTCGTCGTCCGAATACGCATTAGTTTTCGCACTCTAACTTTAGTTAAAGTGAATGGATCTCTGTGAAATTTTACCATAAGGTTCAATACCACAAAAGGAAGGTGGGGATTGATTTTGGGGGTTATGGTACCAACAGTTAAGGAATTAGGGGCCAAAAAGGGGCCAAAAATAAGCATTTTTTTGTTTCCAGACAATAACTGTGGAACAGTGTATGGATCTCTCTGAAATTATACTACAAGTTTCCATACCACAAAGGGATGGTTAGGATTTGCTTTGGGGGGTTATGGCTCAAACCGTTTAAGAATTAGGGGCAAAAAAGGGGGAAAAACAAGGTTGTCCTGGTTAATGGACAAATACTTTAGTACAAAACATAATTTAAAGCAGTGTAAGGGAGATAAATCAAATACATCATTGAAATTATCTCCCTTACACTGCTTTTAAATTATGTATAAAGTAATGGTTAATGAACAATTAAGATAATTTAAAACAGTGTAAGGGAGGTAATCCAAATACAACGTTTTGGTTACTTCCCTTACACTGCTTTTAAATTATGTTTAAAGAAATGCATATTTATAAAGGAAGACCAGTAAAAATATCTGCAAATGTTGCATCTTTTTTTTTTTACAAAAAAATCCATATGAAAGATTTGACACTATATTTTAAATTCTATTATAAAATAGATTAAGTATGCACTATGGTAAATTTAAATGGGTAATTATGGTTGCCAACTCCATTGGAAATTTGAATTGAGATTATGACCATATCTTGAGGGAAAGAATTTTTGGGGGGAAAGGGGGGGGGGGGGGGTAAAAAGAAATTGTGGGGGTCAATTTTTTCTCATTTCAGATTTCAGAAATTAAAAAGAATTATTCTTCAAATATTGTTTTTTTTTCAAATTTCAAATATTGAAAAATTTCAAGAAGTAATCTTTAATTGCACAGTATGGCGCATTAGATTTGTAAAATCTTTGACCACATTTATTTATTTGTTATGCCGAATCTAACTGTGTATTTAGAGTTTTAATTATGGGTCCAGTTTTCAAATTGGTCTACATTAAGGTCCAAAGGGTCCAAAATTAAACTTTGTTTGATTTTAACAAAAATTGAATATATGGGGTTCTTTGATATGCTGAATCTAAACATGTATTTAGATTTTTGATTTTTGGCCCAGTTTTCAAGTTTGTCCAAATTGGGGTCCAAAATTAAAATTTGTTTGATTTCAACAAAAATTGAATATATGAGGTTCTTTGATATGCTGAATCTAACCATGTATTTAGAATTTTTTATTTGTGGGCCCCGCTATCAAATTGGTTCATATTGAGGTCAAAAGGGTCCAAAATTAAACTTTGTTTGATTTCATCAAAAATTGAATTATTGGGGTTCTTTGATATGCCAAATCTAACCGTGTATTTAGATTTTTAATTTTGGGTCCCGTTTTTTAAATTGGTCTACATTAAGGTCCAAAGGGTCCAAAATTAAACTTAGTTTGATTTTAACAAAAATTGAATTTTTGGGGTTCTTTGATATGCTGAATCTAAACATGTGTTCAGATTTTTGATTATGGGCTCAGTTTTCAAGTTGGTCCAAGTTGGGGTCCAAAATTAAACTTTGTTTGATTTCAACAAAAATTGAATATATGGGGTTCTTTGATATTCTGAATCTAAACATGTATTTAGATTTTAGATTTTTGGCCCAGTTTTCAAGTTGGTCCAAATTGGGGTCCAAAATTAAACTTTGTTTGATTTCAACAAAAATTGAATATATGGGGTTCTTTGATATGCTGAATCTTACCCTGTATTTAGATTTTTTATTTGTGGGCCCGCTATCAAATTGGTTCATACTGAGGTCAAAAGGGTCCAAAATTAAACTTTGTTTGATTTCATCAAAAATTGAATTATTGGGGTTCTTTGATATGCCAAATCTAACTGTGTTTTTAGATTTTTAATTTTGGGTCCCGTTTTTTAAATTGGTCTACATTAAGGTCCAAAGGGTCCAAAATTAAACTTAGTTTGATTTTAACAAAAATTGAATTCTTGGGGTACTTTGATATGCTGAATCTAAACATGTGTTTAAATTTTTGATTATGGGACCAGTTTTCAAGTTTGTCCAAGTTGGGGTCCAAAATTAAACTTTGTTTGATTTCAACAAAAATTGAATATATGGGGTTCTTTGATATGCTGAATCTAACCATGTATTTTGATTTTGGACATTGGACCATTATAGGTAAATTAAAAAAATTGAAGTTCTTAGACCACATTCTTTCTGTGTCAGAAACCTATGCTGTGTCAAATATTTAATCACAATCCAAATTCAGAGCTGTATCAAGCTTGAATGTTGTGTCCATACTTGCCCCAACTGTTCAGGGTTCGACCTCTGCGGTCGTATCAAGCTGCGCCCAGCGAAGCATTTTATTGATACATACCCTACTGACAAAAACATTATGACAAGAAAAAGTCGAGACCAAAAAATTGATCAAAGAGGCAAAGAAGTTTTGGATTTTTGCATTAGTAAACAAATAAGAATTTTAAATGGCAGAGTTCTTGGTGATACATTTGGTAATTTTACTTGCTATACCCCCAATGGTGCAAGTGTGGTTGATTATGTTGCTGTGTCGGAAGAAATTCTTGAAAATGTACTGTATTTTAAAGTATCCAGATTTATTCCCACATTATCTGATTGTCATTGTAAACTTGAGTGGGAATTATCTGCAAAATATTGTGTTCCTGGAGAAAATGATATTCCAATCCAGTTGAAAAATATGACACCTAATTATATCTGGACTGACTGTTCAGCAATAAAATTTCAAGAAACACTTTCTTCAGATACACTACAAAACTACATACTAGAATTCAACAACAGCACAATTCAATTTACTCAGACATCAGTAGATGAAGCATCATCAAAACTTTCAAACATCTTTTTATCAGCAGCAAATCTATCACTTAAACGACCTTTAAAAAAACACACAAACAAACAAAAAAAACAAAAAGTGGTTTGACGCAAGTTTACAACAAGCTCGAACTAACTTGCTTAATTATGGAAAAATTTATTCAAGATTTCCATATGATCCAATTATCAAAAATCACTTTTATAAACTGAATCGTGAATACTCCAAACTAAGGAAATATAAATACAAACAATACAAACAATCATTGATTAGTCAGCTGGACTCCTTGCACGAAGAGAATCCAAAACTGTATTGGAACTTAATTAATGAACTACAGGAAAAAAATGAAACTAAAAAAAAATGTGGAGTACAACCATCAACTTTGATATCACATTTCCAAAAGTTGTCACAACTGAAAGGTGAATTTCAAAGTAGATATACAGAGCTATGTGAAAAACTGAAACAGTTAGAAAACTCAAAATGTTTCAACGAGTTGGACTCCGTTATCACTGAGTCTGAAATATCCAAAGCCATTTCACACTTAAAATGCAATAAATCATCAGGCTTGGATAACATTAGTAATAATATGATAAAGAATGGACAGACTTTCCTTTTAAAAAGTTTTCAACAGATGTTTAATACTTGTCTGTCTTCAGGTATATACCCAACATCTTGGGCTGAAGGTTATATTACACCAATTTTTAAAAGCAACGATACAAGTGACCCTAACAATTATAGAGGAATAACAATAACAAGTGCAATTGGAAAGCTTTTTAATAGAATATTAAGTCTAAGACTGGACAAATTTCTTCAGGAACATAATATTATACATGATAGTCAAATTGGATTCACAAGGAAAGCCAGAACTGCAGATCATATGTTTATTTTAAACTGTCTTATTAACAAATACTGTAATTCAAAAGAAGGTAGACTGTTTGCCTGTTTTGTTGATTTTCAGAAGGCTTTTGATACTGTTATACATACAGGGATCAAGATTAAACTACTAGATATTGGGGCTGGGTCTTATTTTTATAACATTATTAAAAGTATGTATGAAATTAGCAAATCATGTGTCAAAATTCAAAATCAAGTAAGTGATTTTTTCCCATTAGATATTGGAGTCAAACAAGGTGACAACCTCAGTCCGAATTTATTCAAGATATTCATAAATGATTTGCCCAGATATTTGTCAGATACTAGAGACCCAGTTAATGTCAATGACAAAGATCTACATTGTTTAATGTATGCTGATGATATTGTTTTATTATCTACATCAGCTGAAGGACTACGAGAAAAGCTGGGAATGCTTGATAAATTTTGCAAAGATTGGTGTCTCAATGTGAATACTAATAAGACAAAGGTGCTGATTTTCAACAAGGCAGGCAGACATGTAAAACAGATATTCACATTTCAGAATATAAATCTGGAATGTGTTTCAAAATACAAATACCTAGGTTTATATTTAAGCTCATCTGGTTCATTCAGTTATGCTCAAAATGAACTATACACAAAATCCCTGAAAGCTCATTTCAAATTAAGGAAAGATCTTTTATCACTTAATCCTGATGTAAAAACAAGTATTCATGTTTTTGACCACACTGTAAAACCTATTTTATTATATGGTAGCGAAATATGGGGGATGTTTAATTCTCTTTCCTCTAAATGTAAGAAGGAAGATATATCTTTTGAAAAATTATATTCAGGTTTACCCTGTGAGAAACTTCATATAAAATTTTGTAAATTTATACTTGGGGTACACAAGAAAACAACAAATGCTGCAGTGTTATCTGAACTTGGAAGATTTCCAATATATTTTAATATTATAAAAGGAATGTTATTGTACTGGTATAGATTAGAGAATTTAGGTAATAATTTTCCTCTATTAAAAGAGGCATATACACAATCAAAGACACTACATCACATGAATATAACATCATGGTATGGTTCAATAAATGTTGTTTTTAAAATACTTGGTATTGACTATACAAATGCCATAAATGCTCCATTTTGTGAATCCTTATACAAATTTAAGAAATATATAGAAACCAAGCTATCAATATTGTTTATTAGCTGTTGGAAAAAACAAATAGATAAATTTTCAGACAGTAAACTGAAAACCTACCTTTTATATAAAACAAATTTTGGTTTTGAAAAATATCTAACATTGATCAAGAATTTTGAACTTAGAAGAAGTTTTACTAAATTACGTGTATCTTCTCATAGATTACAAATAGAATTAGGTAGATATCAGGGTATTCCCCGAATTAACAGAATATGTAATAAATGTTCTTCCAATACTGTCGAAGATGAGGCTCATTTTCTATTTGATTGTAACAAATTTGAGGATGATAGAAATTGTATGTTAGCTAGTATTGCACAATATAATTCTTATTTTAATCATATGAACAGTCAAAGCAAAATTATCTGGTTATTTAGTGTAGAAAATGTTGAGTTACTTAAAATAATATGTAATTTTATATACAAACATCTTCCTTAGTGAAGATTAGTTAAAGGAAATCTATGTGTGTATATACATTTGATTGGACATAGAAAATTATATTCATCTGAATATCACAAACATACTAGCCGATTAAAAAAAAAAATAATTGTTAAGATATATTATTTATTCAAATGTTCTCTTATATCCTTGAGGCATCGTCCCCAGGTATCAACTGCATTCAAGTTACCTATGATGCTTCCTTGTTTGCTTTTGATACAGGTAGGAAAGAGACATTTACACACATTTTACATGCCTATGGCCCATAAGGTATCGCCCCCTGGTGTCAGCTGCCTTTAGGAAACCATAATGCTTTCCTATTTGCTGCTGACACAGGATGAGTCATGGACATGTTTAATTTCTACTTTCTTTTTGGCTAATTATTATATATTTAATTGATCCAACTTTTTGTGTACTATACATATGTGGATATCTATTTTTCTTTTTTTCTTTTTGGGCTGCTTGTTTATCTATATCAACCACACTTGCAATAAAATGCATTAGTATTAAAAAAAACAACATACTATAGATTCTTTATCTACGTATTCTTTAAGAACTTAAATAGTTCTCGTTTAACTTTTTTTTTTTTTTATCTCATTGTTTGTATTGTATTATGAAAAAATTATTGATGTTGTAATGTTTATGCCCTTTGGGGCCCATAATTGGAAATAAAATATCTTATCTTATCTTATCTTATGTTGTAAATATGCAAAAGTTTATTTTTATGATGTACAAAACTTGAAAAATTTTATACAGTAATTGTCTTGTCTGGACGATTTTTAGACAATCATACGGTTTCTGTCAGTTTATTGTCCCCTGCACGCAGGGCGTGTTGCAGGGGACATACAAATACCAGGCATCTATCCCTCTATGTGTCTGTCCATCCTGTCTTGTTAGTGCTCTCACATACATGTACAATTCTTGCCAGATTTTTATTAAGATTATATCATAGATTTATATTAGCAATGTCTCTTACAAATTTGAAAATCAGTGCTGATCAACTTTTTTTAAAAGAGTTATGCCACTTGGAAGTATTAATTATATGAAAAATTGCATTGTAAGAGCTCTCTTGTGGACAAATTTTACCAGATTTATATGAAATTTATATCAATAGATTATATCAACCATGTCTTGAATAATGTTGAAAATCAGTGCCGACCAACTATTTTTAAAAGACATCAGGTTATCGGAATTCCCATGGGGACTAACTGTGCACCATAATTGCGGACCTGTTTCTGTATTGTTATGAGTTACAATTTATGACTAAAATCAGCAAAGACCCATCGAAACAACATCTGATTCAAAAATTTAATAACACTTTTAGATATTTAAATGATATATTGGCTCTCAAAAATGACGACATCAGTATGTACACTAAAGAGATTTATCCTGTCGAACTGACTTTAAATAAAGCCAATACTAACAATGAACACTGCCCTTTCCTGGATCTTGATATCTTTATCTTTAACGGGAAACTTCATACCAAAATTTACGATAAAAGAGATGATTTTTCATTTCCTATTGTTAATTATCCATTTTTAGATGGTGACGTTCCCTTGTCGCCATCTTATGGTGTTTATATATCTCAACTTGTTCGATACGCTCGTGTATGTAACACCGTATTTGATTTAAACGAAAGAAATCTCTGTATTACTGAAAAATTATTACACCAGGGTTTTTCGATATCACAAACTAGTCAAAACATTTACTAAATTTTATCATCGGTACCTGGAAATCATTCGTAAATATAAATCAGCATGCAGACATCTTATACGTTCAGGTATTTCACATCCAATATTTTATGGTAACATTCTTTACAAAGCACAAAAATGTCGGCATTCACCTCAAAAGCTAACCAAACCTTTTAAACAGACTTATTCAGAAAGGACATAGTTACGATACTGTTGTCAAGTCATTAAAGATTGCATATTTTGGTATTAATATTGATTCACTCATAGGGTCTTTGCATCGGAAATAAACACATTTATTCTAAAACCAGTTGTTGGCATGATACGGGTTATGTTCTTCTCATATATTTTATGATGGTATGATACTAAACCCCTAACGGGAGGGATTGTACTTGATTTTCATATGATGAAGACATAATCTTTCAATCAGTTTAATTGAGGTTTGGAGCTGGCATGTCAGTAACTGCTAGTAGTCCTTTGTTCATTTATGTATCATTGTCATTTTGCTTAGTTTCTTTTGTTACCTGTTCTGACATCGGACTCTGACTTCTTTTAAGCTGAGTTTTATTGTGCGTATTTCTATGTTTCTTTTTTCTACATTGACTAGAGGTATAGGGGGAGGGTTGAGATCTCACAAAACATGTTTAACCCCTCCGCATTTTTGCGCCTGTCCCAAGTCAGGGGCCTCTGGCCTTTGTTAGTCTTGTATGTTTTTTAATTTTAGTTCATTTATATGTTTTGGAGTTTAGTGTGACGTCCATTTTAACTGAATAAGCACACAATTTTATTTAGGGGCCAGCTGAGGACCACCTCCAGGTGCAGGATTTTCTCGTTGCATTCAAGACCCATTGGTGGCCTTCGGCTGTTGTCTGCTCTTTGGTAGGGTTGTTGTCTCTTTGACATATTCTCCATTTCCATTCTCAATTTTATACCACTTGGAAATATAATTATATCCCACGCAAATTTTTTGCGAAGGGTATAATGTTTTTGACCCGTCCGTCCGTCCATCTGTCTGTCTGTCCGTCCGTCTGTCCGTCCGTCAGTCCTGTTTCTTGTCATCGCAACTCCTCTCAGACCACACAACAGAATTTCATGAAACCTTTTCAGATAATAAGGACATACTATGTAGATGTGCATATCGACAGGAATTTACGAATCAATTTTTTTCCCAGGAGTTACGCCCCTTTGAACTTATTTGCCTAATATACTACTGCAATGTTTTGTCATCACAACTCCTCTGAAACCACACCACAGAATTTCATGAAACTTTGTAGATAATAAGGACATACTATGTAGATGTGCATATCGACAGGAAATTACGATTCAATTTTTTTTCTAGGAGTTACGCCTCTTTGAACTTATTTGCTTCAATGTACTACTGCAACAGTTTGTCATCACAACTCCTCTGAAACCACACCACAGAATTTCATGAAAATTTGTAGATAATAAGGACATACTATGTAGATGTGCATATTGACAGGAAATTACGATTCAATTTTTTTTCTAGGAGTTACGCCCCTTTGAACTTATTTGCTTCAATGTACTACTGCAACAGTTTGTCATCGCAACTCCTCTGAAACCACACCACAGAATTTCATGAAACTTTGTAGATAATAAGGACATACTATGTAGATGTGCATATCGACAGGAAATTACAATTCAATTTTTTTTCTAGGAGTTAAGCCCCTTTGAACTTATTTGCTTCAATGTACTTCTGCAACAGTTTGTCATCGCAACTCCTCTGAAACCACACAACAGAACTTCATGAAACTTTGTAGATAATAAGGACATACTATGTAGATGTGCATATTGACAGAAAATTATGATTCAATTTTTTTTTCTTACACTTATTTTTTTTCTCCAATGACAATGTGGGGACGTGGGGTATGTGAGCACGCTCCCTAAGGTTCTTTAATTTATATTGAAAATTGCATTGTAAGTGTTCTCATGTGTACAATTTTTGCCAGGTTTTTATGAAACTTATACCAAAAGATTATATAAACAATGTCTTGAACAAGTTTGAAAATCAATGCCGATCAGTTATTTTTAAAAGAATATATCAATTATATGAAAAATTGCATTGTAAGTGCTCTTGTGTACAATTTTTTTGCCACATTTTTATACGCCTGTCAAAATTTTGACGAATCATGAGCTCATGGCGCAGCTGTTTATAATCAAATTTGTACCAAATGTTTTTATCAGCAATGTCTCAGACATTTTCGGAAACAAGTGTCAATCAAATATTTTTTAAAGGGTTATGCCCTTTGGAGATATTAATTATAGAAGTAATTGCATTTCATTTGTTCTCAAGTCTTCTTTTCTATAAGATAAAAAGTTTTAAAGAACAACAAAAAAAAATTTATTTTTAGTGATCTCTCTTGGACAGATAAAATATGTGCCAAGCTGGGGATATTGGAACTCTGTTTTTATTTATTGAATTTGAAACTTTTGCATAGTTTACATGTTAAAGTTTGTGATTTGTTTGTGAAAGTTTAAGGGAAACTGCTAATGGTTAGTCAATGATATTTGGTATACTAATGTATGTGCATTGACATTTCTCAGTTCATGAAAATTATTTGGCCATGTACCTTCAGATGTTAATTATATAAGAAATTGCATTTCTGTGACTTTAAATGTTTAGCATAATATACATGTTAGAGTAATTGCCCTTTAATGAAGATTTTTACCAATTTTTTGTGACTTTGCCTTTTATCTTGTGTTTTGTGTTTTGAGAAAAAACTATTTTGATACTGTAAACAGAAATAATTATCATACAAGATCAACATAAAAAAAAATTTCAGTCATGAATTATATTCTAATCTACAATTTTGGAGAGTTTCCATTGTTGAAGATGCACATGTGAATCTACTATGATGAGTTACAGATCGAGTTTACATTTGGTTCCACTCCTCTTATTTTTGCCAAAATTACAGGCTTTGGACTTTGAAAATTTCATGAAAATAGCAGTTATTTGGACTTTTTTTTCTAAAAGCCTTCACACATTGAGTTGATTTTTAGTATGTGAGTCTACTATGATGAGTTACAAGTTTATGTTTGGTTCCGCTCTGCTGATTTTTGCTGAAACAATAGCCTTTGAACTTTGAACATTTTGTGAAAATAACAGTTATGCAGACTATTTTTCTTAACCCCTTCACATATTGAGCTGATTTTTAGCATGTGAGTCTACTATGATGAGTTACAGGTCAAGTTTATGTTTGGTTCTGCTCCATTGATTTTTGTTGAAATTATGGGCTTTGGACAGAAAACTTTGTGAAAATTACAGTTTTTTTTTCTAAGTGCCTTCATATATTGAGCTGATTTTTAGTGTGTGAGTCTACTATGATAAGTTACAGATAGAGTTTACATTTTGTTCCGCTGCGCTGATTTTTGCCAATTTGAACATTTTTGACTTTGAACATGTTGTGAAAATAACAGTTATACACACTTTTTTTTCCAAACGCCTGCACATATTGAGCTGATTTTTAGTATGTGTGAAAATAACAGTTATACGGACTTTCATTCTCAAATTTCCGCTCCTGATAATGGCTTCAAGCTTTTTTTGTGAGCGGGGCCATTCATGTCGTTCTGACACATCTAGTTTTTACTGATTTCTCTCAGCTATGATATGTTCTTCCTTTTGTGTTATAGTTTCTAATTGCCTGTGTTTAGTTTAATCTTCTTTTGAATCAGTAAGATAACTTGTGTTTACTCTGCTTTACTAGCAAGTACAAACGAAATTGTGCAACTTTCAAGATGAAAGGAGGTCTTTTTAATTATTTATTTGATAATAGAACTGGTGGTATAGTGAAACACATGGCCTGGTATTAATAGCTGGTTGGGGACAGATTTATTTTAAACAGATTGTTGAGATTATAGACAAATAGGTCACTATGACATTAGTTTTATGTCAGGTGTAAGTTCGTGGAACAAATCATACTGGGAATTAGTTTTATTTCTACAGTATAGCCGATCTGTAAATGTGCTAGATGGTTCACTTGACATTTGGTACAGCGGAAAAATTATTATACATTAGTCTGAACAAAATTCACAAGACAATTAATTAATTAATTATTGAATTAACTAAAGATATTAGTTAAAATTTATCAAACATATCAACCGGCAAAAAATCTCATTTTACTGGCCAGACAAGCAATCTTTTTGGTTTGACTGTCATTACTGTTGTCCTTCTTGAACTCTGTATATGAAAAAGTATAAAAGACGTTATATGCTTTGTGAGAATATTCTGCACCAATTTACAAATATACAACAGGAATAGTATGAAAAACATTTATGAAGGCTTGACATCAAAGAATGACAACATCTTATTTAGATTTTGATGATTTGTTTGAAAGTGAGACATAAAACAATAGTTAGGATGTTATTACAAATCTAATTAGCTACACAGACACTTGGTTATTGGCAGAACTGTCAAAAGTTGATTGTACTTTACTATAGGAAGGACTTACTTACTCTGGTTTTCATTAGAAGAAGGTAATTATTAATTTCTTATCTGATACCTCTCTGGATTTTGAAAAAAAAGCAAAATAAGATTTAATTGAAAATTTTTTTTGAAAATGTTCTCAAACTTTTAAATACATTTTTTTAAAAGATTGCCATAGCAGCATATATTATTAAAAGATTACAATCTACTATAATAGCAACTGTTTTCTGAGAGTCTGTGATAGTACAAAGAGAATTATGAAGCTGTCAATACATGTTTATCTTTTCAATATTATTAAATTTAAAAAATGGGAACTTGCCAACTCAAGAAAATTACACGTTTGTTCAATAGGTTCTTGAACTTTATTGTATATATATCCATAGTTATAGCAAAGAATACAACAACCTCGTCAGTAACTAGCCAATAGATCAACCAGAATCAAAACAACACATTGACAATAACATAAAACAGTGATAACACAGTAGGTTTACATTCGCATAGTCTTGATTCAATCAAAGGTTCGAAGCAGGTTCTCTGTTGATATTAATTAATTGGCAGTATGTGTAATAAGCTTCCATCCAAGGTACTATGAAAAACAGCAGGTCAGTGTACATTTAATTAAGTTACAGCCAAGCTCTTAAGTAATTATCATGTTTCAGGAGTTATTCCCCTTTATATAGTGCTGAAATGTGTAATATGTTAGATTTGAACCATCTGTGATCTGTTGTTAAACAAATACAAATCTGTTTGTTTGAATGAATCTTATAAAATTATGATTGTAGACCTACTTTAAAGACACCAGATTTCATTTACCAGAAAAAAAAGAACTAATTTTGCTTTCATATTGAGTGGCTATAAATATAAATTTTAGAAAAGACATCTACCATATTGAATAAAAAACATACTTTCTTTGATTGAAATATAGTAATTTATACTAGCTATCATGACTTTAATACAGCTGTAGAACTTTTTCAAAATAAATATTATAAATACTTAAAGGATTATTTATCTACCTGAATAAACTATTTAGATTAGAAGAATTATCTAATCAATTAGAATAATAAAAAGGATATTATTTACAAACATATATTTTTGTCCCCCCCGCGTAACGTGTGCGGGCGGCCCCTTCGGTCTTGTTAGCAGGTACAATTCTTGCCAGATTTTTATAAAATTTATACTATAGATTAATATTAGCAATGTCTCGGACAAGTTTTATAATGGTGGCAGATCGACTTTTTTAAGAAGAGTTATGCCCCTTGGAAATATAAAATATGTGCAATGCGGGGGACATTGAACTCTGTTCTTTTATTAGATTGAAATTAAGATGAAATATAACCCAGTGAATTATAAGGAAAGGAAATGAAAATGACAATATAAATTGTATGCGTATGAAGCATTTTCTGGATTTACCTTCATGAAGAATGCTCAAAGCCAAAAAATTGTCTTTGTCAAATGGTATGCTTCACCTAGTTAGTTGCTGAAATAGGGATGAAAGACATGTATAAGAATTTTTGATAATATAGAAGTATATAATCATTTTTTCAACTTTGAACATAGTTTAGTAGAATTCCTAGATTATTGTAATTTATTTCAGGAGATCTTTGGGAGGGATGGTCTAAGTCAGCTGTGGAATGAACTGGTGAGGGATGGGGAAGTTGTTGTGAACAGTAATGATGGACTTATGAACGGCAGTGGTGTCCTGGCTCGTAAAGGTATGTTGCACACAGAAACTCTAACACTATTTAACCTTTCTAGTAAAAGTTAACAAAATTCTAATTGATATATATACTAAACTTTTGAGTTCCAGGACTTAACTACTACTAACCTCAATTTTGTGCTGGTTGAAAGAGTAAAATAAAAATATCGAACTCCAAGGAAAATTCAAATGGCAAAATCAAAAGCTCAATCAAACATATCAAATGAAATTAATGAATGGAAAACAACTGTCATATTCCTGACTTGGTACAGGCATTTCCTTATGTAGAAAATGGTGGATTAAATCTGATTTTATAGGTAGCTAAATCTCTCACTTGTATGACAGTTACATATAATTCCATTATATTGACAACAATGTGTGAACGAAACAAACAGACATAATAGAGGGTGGTAAAGGGGGGGGTGCTTGCACGGAAAAAACGTGAAATAATTTCTGTCATGAACGTTGCACGAAAAATAAAGACTTTGATGTGAACCTTTTGTGACTGAGTCACTGTCCTCTTGTATATATAAACTCTCTGTTTTACTTAATATTCCGGATTAAGTATACACATTTATGATATAAATGGTTTACGGCTTTTAAAAAAGTATATAACGATCTTCTTAACTTTTAAAATGCAAATAAAGGAACAACATCATAGATAGGCCTTTCTGCTTTATCAAAAAACAAAATTCAATCATTTTTTTTACTTGACGATCCCTGCCTAGTGTTTGAAATTTATTTGAAAAATACCGAGCACGCAAAATAAGCATTTGAAATTCACGATGCACGTAAAATTAAATAAGCAGAACACGTTGAACGAGGCACCTGTCTTGCACGACTGAACGTCAAATAAAAAAGTTAAAACACGTTGAACGTGAAATAAAAAACGGCGATCACGTTGCACAAAAATAACCCTTTACCACTCTCATAATAGGTAAAATGTCAAAAATAGGGGTACAACAGTCAACATTGTGTTATAATCTTAATCACTATAAAAACAAACAAATATGTCAACAAAGAAAAACAAGACGTCATATGGACAAAACACATAAGCAAAAATGAAAGACACAATCTGCAACACAATCACTTTAATTAGAACTGTGATGTCAAAAGTTTTTTATTGTGACAAAAGAAATAATAAGGGGAAAACATTTTATAAACTTCAACAGTGGAAAACTGAAACTTGGTGTATACATTTGTACCTCCACCCACATTTCTCTTACATTGAACAGTTGTAGTCCTTTAAATTCTTGATAGGTTGGGACTAGCCTGAACATATTTCGGGGAAGATCTAACAAATTGAGTGCAATTGCCAGTTTGACTCAACCTTTATTATATTTTGAACGTTAGCTTCTTTAGTGCTTTTACTGGATTTGCCTAACCTTTGGTATATTCATGACAGTGTTCTATACCCAGTTCAGTGATTGAGTTGGGATCATTTTTATCATATATTCAATAAATGTAGTACCAACAGAACTTATATCAAATGGGCAGCCTTTGTCTTATGGGAAAAAAGTATGACAAACCTTGTACATATTTTTCGTTAAGGATGTTCTTGTGCCCCAAATGCATGTTTTATCCTCCAAGTCCAGTGGATCATGTCATGTCTTATGTATCTTTATTGGTATCAGAATAATTGAATTGAATACCCATCACATGCATCTGTAGTAGGCCATGAGAGCCTGAATTGGCAGCTGGTTAAACAGTTTATAACATTATATGTGTATACTTGTAGAGGAGGCATATCAGTGATATCTCTTTATAGTGTAGTACATGTACCTAGATTCTTAATGATGCAGTTCCCTTGATCCTGTCAATGTTATTTACAATTTTGAGTTACTTGAGAGATTACATGTGGTAATAATTACATAATTTGTGAGATGTAGTTCCTAATTTCTGCAATAGATCAGACGCGATGGTGATCTACATGAAGGAGTTCTGCTGACTGTTATATTATCAGTTGTAGCAACAGGAGCGAAGTCATTTCATTGCAGCTTATAATTAATATGATTGCTATACAGTTGTCACAGTTTGATGCTGATGAAGTTATTTTTAGAACATTGCATTGTTTCTGTTACTAAAATAGTAGGCGAAATATTTTTTTATTAGAATATGGGTTATGCCTATGTTTGACTTGGAAAAGAATATGCATATGCATATAGAACTGTCTCATTGCCACTCATACCGCATCTTCCTATATCTATATATGGTTGAATGATTATCACACAGCACATGAGATCTACATGTGTCATACATTGGACAGGTTTGCTGAATGACATGTAAATAAAAATATACCAAAACAATCAAGTATACATGTAAGAATAAGAAGATGTGGTATGATTACCAATGAGACAGTTCTCCACCAGAGATTAATGATGTAGAAGTTATCAACTTATCACCATACAGCCTTCAACAATGAGCAAAACCCATGTACAGCTACAGTATCACCAAGAAGCAATGAAATGACCAATAGATTTTGGTGGGCACTGAGCCTTTCACCATAATGATTCAGGAAGGTTTTTTAATATCACTTTTAAGGTAGACATATTTTGATTTATTTAGTGAACAAAGCATATTGTACAGTAATCAAGCTATGATCGTAATTTTTTGAGGTCTATTATCCAACACAGTTAGATTTTGTTTAAGTAGTGAAATTTCAATGAATAGAATAGAATTTTCTGTTGGAAATATTCAAAGTGTTTCACTCACTCTTGATGTAAGAAAGCCTTTAAGAAAAAAAATTCCCCTTTCCTGGTAAACACTAAGAGGGACCAACACAGGAAAACCAAAATGTTATAGGCGTGATTTTTTTTCACAACTGCATAAAACAATTATATAAATGTGTATTTGAAAAGTACAGTTATAAAGTACATTATAAAGTTAAAAAACCCATAAATTAAATGACCCCATGCAATTTTATTCCAGCAAAAAGTGCTGCTTGTTAACTGAATGGGTTTTAGCAGGTAGTAAACTTTTGGCATAATAGTAAATTTATAAATAGCGATCTTTTTTATCTTCAATATCTTGTTTGATGTGGCAAACTTTTGTAATCATAGGGGTAATGTTATTACCTGTTTTTTGTTTTACTAGATAATAACACTCTATGACTGTTTTCTTAAAATAAACATCCGTGGAGGGATGCTGCTGAATGGCATCTTTCATTCTTTAATATTATGAATGGGTTCATCACTATGAACTGTACTTCAAACCAAAATTATAATGTCCATGGAACTATAATTTGTTGAAATTAAATTTCATACCTAAAACTTTTAAATGCACACATTTGAACACATTCTATAAACTATATTTCACTGTTCTCTCAACTCAGATCTGTGTTTCTTCTGTTTATGTTTATTTCTATTTTAGTGCTGTTGATCAATGAATTTTGAAATATATAGGTTGCAATTATTCTTTAGTTTTATTCTCTGTCTTTTACCCCATCCTGCTATCTTCTATCCATTTCAATTCAGTATTGCAGTATGCACCCTGGCTATGAATGCTCCCATGCATTAATTACAAATATATAGTTTTATCGCACCTCAGATAAATTATGAAGTTATGATTGGTTAAACGCTGTCACGTGGTGACCCCCTATGGATCCGTATGGGGTCAGTTTATTTCATATGGGGTTCATGACGTCACTTTTACTATTAATGGTGATGTCATCTATTATACAGTTCACCACTGACCCCATACGGACCATAGAGGATTAGTAAAATCCATAGGAGATTCGGCCTTTGGATTTTATTAACCCTATATGGATCCGAAGGAGGTCAGTAGCAAACCATATAACTTATATTATCCTTCTCTTTCTCTTAGGGGGTGTAGATTGCAGAGTGGTCTAAGTTATCCATCTACAGTGATCACTGAGGTTGTGAGTTCAAACCTCACTTGTGGCAATGTGTGTTTGACTCAGATCATAATTGACTTAGGGATTGGCAGTTTTCCTACAGAAGGTCATGGTTCCTTTCGGACACTCTGGCTTTCTCCACCAATAAAAAATGGATTCTATGATATATTTAAGGGTGCTGAAAGTATCTTTAAACAATGAATCAATGAATCATTCTATACCTCATGTTGGTACATACTGTGAATCCTAAGATACCTGAAAAGTTGTTATCAAAGAGAGGGGAAAGATACCAAAGGGACATTCAAACTCATAAGAAGAAAAGAAACTGACAATGCCATGGCTAAAAAAAGACCTAAAGACTGAGCAACACGAACCCCACCAAAAACTGGGGGTGATCTAAGGTGCTCTGGAAGGGTAGCAGATCCTGCTCCACATGTGGCACCTGTCATGTTGTTCATGTTAGTACAAACCCAGTAATAAGTCTAATTTGGTAGGTCACATTTGGTCAACCAACTCGTGATGGCGTCCGTAAAATTCACGAAGTGAGGATTTCAACTTCACCACTTGGAACTCTTGGAACTCTTGGTATGATAGCTTCCTTGTCAGCAGCAACCCTCTATCAATGAAATCATGATAGAAAATACAAGCCCTGGAATATCATATCAACTGGGAGATATATACTCTGTATGCTGGTGCTGCTGGATTGTTGCTACATAAAAATGGAAAGTTCACAATTGGGAAGCTAAAATCATCTCTTTTGTCGTAAAGTTTTGTAGTCAATGACCCTCATTGTTAATTTCTAGATACAGTATCAATAGTATTTTTGTACAAACAATAAACAGGAGCAAAAATATGTACTGAAAACTTTATAGTTCTCTAAGATATAAAAATTAGACTATTTTATAAGCAATAAAATGTCTGCGTTAAATTTCAAAAAACACTCAGCTTTTGAATTCAGTTATTTCATGGTAACAGTGATGATATCACAAAGGAAGATTTAGTCATAACATTAGTCATAGCTGTTGCTTAAAAGTTTTGAAGGTTTTTGTCTCTCTCCCATTCTATTTTCAATTTCTAAACTATGTTGTCAAGGTTCAAGTAGCTTTGAGATAAAGAATAACAATAACAGTTCTGTTTCTTTGCAATATTTTTTTTTCAAGAGC